CATTAAAGTGAGTCAGATAATCTTTTATTAGATAATAATAATAATAATAATGAATCACACAGGCACGTATATTAAGTACTTTAAGAGGAAGAAAATGCACTGAATCATTTAATAATGTCATCAAATGGGCTCCATTAGGGCCTGCTGTGGGAGCATGAGGGCACTGGGCCCTCAGCCCTGCCTGGAGGAGCAGGTAGCCCAGTGCTGGCTTGGGGATGCCTCTGTTGGGATGGGCTGGAGCACCATGAAGGGTCTGCCCTGGCCCCCCCTGGCTCTCCCTGCCCTCAGCCTGTGACAGCAGCACCCCAGGGCCTGGGCAGGAGGGTCCCAGCCAGGGAAGTCCCAGAAGAAAACACTCTGTTTGGATGGGAGGGCTGGGCAGGGGCCCTCAGGCCTCACCAGAGTCTGCAGGGTGGCTGGGGGAGGCTGTGGGACCCTGGGATGGCAGAAGGGCATGTGCTGGCAGACACCGGCTCCTGGTGGGAATCCCCAGGGATGTGGGCAATGGGAACATGGCAAGGGTGGCCAGCGCTAGGGAATTCAAATCCCAGCTGGGGGACAGGGCTGAGACACAATGGAAGGGAGCTCAGGACCACTGTGGCACTGACCACCAGCCCCACATTCTGGCCTCACATCCCCATCCCTCCTGGGACACCCCTGCTCTGCTTGGGCTCTGCCCTGGTGAGAGGAATCTTTACCACCCAAAAGCAGCCTTCCCCCAGAGGTGGCAAAGGTGGGGATGCTAATGGCTGTGGATCTTGCTGTCTCACCAGGACCAACTCTGGGGACAGCCAGCAATGGATGGACTGGCCCATCTCTGCCTTTCCAGTAAGAACTTTGTAAGGATCCCTGGTGTGAGCCCAGAGCTGCAGTGTGTCACCCCTTCCTGTCACACTCTGCAGGGGTGCCAAGCACAGCTGGGTCCTGTATGTAGGGTGGGTGCTTTTGATATAAATAATCTATTGTTTATTAATGTTAATTAAAATCTATAAAAATAAATATAACAATTAAGAAAATTTCATGGCTCTTGCAGGAAGGAGAAAACAGGTTTAAACCTCACTGCACCCAGGTTTAAATCTCACTGTACACAACTCCCATGGCTGTTGCCATGCCCTGGGTGCTGCCCACAGCTTCTAGAGTGCATGCATGCTGGGCATGAGAGGGATCCCCAAAACAGCATGAAAAGCCAAAAGCCAGGGCTGAGGTCCCTGGGATGCTCCTGGTTGCCACAGCAACATGCTGCCTTCCTCCATGATGCGGTGGAGTTGTCATGGAGAAGACATGACCCACACCCCAGGATGCCCAGTGGCCCCCACAGCCCTGGAGTACACAGTCAGTGTGGCCATTGGGCAGCCCAGTGTCACCAGGGACATCCCAGCAGCTCTGATGTGGGCAAGGGACACACCATCAATACCTGCCTGGCCTGAACACACTCTGCCAGCACTCATCACTGCAGTGAGTGTGCTGGGGGATGCCAGCCAGTCATGGCTTAGCCCAGTTCCACCGTCAGCCACTTACCCCACTCCTGACAGACATCTGCTCACTGCAGGCAGCCAAGTGAGCAGTTTTCTCAGTTTAAAGCAATAACTAGATTACACCTCACCCTGGAAAATTATCTGTACTGCAATCTGGCTTCATTTGTGGTCAAAACCAGCCATGCTACCGTGAGAACAGGCATCTTGGGTGTCGGTGCACCATGCTTCTGCCTCCTCAGGAAGTTTCTAGGAATAGCTGATGAAAATAGAGGGCACTGGGGAGGAGTTATGACGTCTACAGTCCCGTGGCAGACCTGCTACCAGCTCCTCAGCTTGACAGGGGATGCTGCCAGCTGATGAGTGCCCCATGAAGCAGCTCCCCTTCATTAACAACAAATTGGAAGTTAATTCTCATTTCTGGCAGTGGCAGAGGGCACAGCCCTGGCTGCTTCACACTGCGGCCACTCCTGCCTCATCCCAGGATTTATTCTTGTCCTTGCAGCAATCTTCAGGTGGTGCAAGGTCACTCCACTCACATGGAATGGAGTACCTGTGGGGCATAGGGAACCTTTCACAGAAACCAAGGTGCTGCTCCCAGATGGGCCCTCCTGTCCTGAGGATCTGGAGGCCATGGAGCTACTGGAATTGCCTTTGAGTTCCTAGGCTCACAGAGGGAGGTTGTTCCCCACTGTGCACCTACACAGCCCCATCTGCCAAAAACCACCTGTTCCAAGACTTGGCTGAAAGAGCCCCACTTTCAGGCCCTCCAGAGCCTTAGGTGAGATTTCCAGCCTCCCAAAACAGCTGGGAGTATCAATCCTTCCCCAAGAGGAAAGAAGAAAGCACCAGGCCCCATACCAGCCCCAGAATGCTCTTACTGCCCCTGGCCCTGCACTTTGGGACTTCAGAGGAAGATATGAGTGTTTATCACTCATGTTTATGACTCCTCAGAGATCACTGTGGGACCTGCCTTAACCTTCCCTGAAGCACTGTGGTGAGGAGCTTGGGTAGGTGGCACCAGCTGAAATTACTGAAGATGAAGCCAAGCAGGAAAACAGATGTTCACATATCCCAGCTTGAGGTTTCTGGATGTAGTGGTTTAGGTTTGCTCATTTGAGTTTCCTGGCAAACGCACCAAATAATGTAATGGATTCAGCACTGGAGAAAATCACCAGTGCATCTACTTAGAATTATTTACTAATTTCCTGCTGTGAAATATGAATTAGGAGGAGGGCAAAGCAGGCTCAAAACTTAAAAGGTATAAAGAAAACTTTATTAACAGAACTAGAAGAGTAATAAGAATCAGAGTAAAACCTTCAGATTTCTCCTCCCCTCCCCACAACCCCTTTTCTTTCCCATGGACAACGTAGAGAAAAAACCTGGGATTTTCAATCGGTTACCATCTCTACAATAGTCTTGCATCAGTTCTTGTAGGGAGAGGAGTTTTCTTTTGCCATGCCATGGAGACTTCTCTCGTGGCTTTTAATTTCCATGAATAGTAGCTGCCCAAAAAATCTTCAATCGTGAAGCTCCTCCCATTTTCACAGCCTTCTCACAGCTGAGCTCATGGGCCATGAACTCATGGTCTATTATTTTAAGGATGAGCTGTTCAAAACCAAAGGCTCTCTTCATTTACCTTTGCGATCACCTCTGGGAACAGAGGTTTACTTCTTCTCTCCTTGGGGGCAAAGGGTCTTCATCACTCTCATCTCTCTCTGTTCAAGCTTCTCATGGGATCACAGCTACTCCAACATCTGTTTTGCTTCATTATGGATGCTTCTGCTCATGTCTACAGTTTGAACACTTCATCCCCCCATAGTCTCTCATTAATTAAAGGGGATATTTTAGTGTACCATAATCCATCTCCATGGCCTTAGCAGAAAAATTCCAGCCCAGTACTAAGGCATCTCCTCATTCTTCTTCCATCTGGGACTTGACTCCTTCTTTACCAACCTTGGTGTCTTCACGTTGTCTTTGACATGTCCTTACTCTGTGCTTTTCTCTCACCCAAGGGGAGGATTGGTGTTTTGCAAGTTTCATCTGTGCACTGGGAGAGTTAATGTCTCACCCAGGCCTGCAGATGGTCATGATGGTTTCTGCTGGGCAGTGACCGAAGCAGTCACGGTGATGGATTTCAGGCTGTGCCAAGATCTCAGGGGGCCTGGCCAGAACGGTGGCGGCCACCCTGGCTGCATGGCTGGTCCCAGGCCCCTGCTTCCCTCCATTTCAGCTGTGGGCCAATGGCTTCCCCTCTCCCTGCCCTGCAGCTGCTGAGGCCATGGGGCTATGGCAGAAGGGGCCTCACCCGGCCCGGAGCTGCTCCTGGAGCCCAGCTGACCCTGGCTTGGCAGGGCTTAGTGTCAGTGACATGTGGCAGCCACGGCCTGGCCCAGCCTCAGCTGGGGCCTTGTGGCCTCCAATCCCCTGGCTGGTCATTGCTGCTGCCCTGCCCAGCCCTGCCAGGCCGCATGGGCTGCAGTGGGGCAGTGCCGGTCTGACCAGCACCCAGGTACCTCTTCAAAGCCAGACGCAAGAGATAGCTTCCCCAGACTTGCCTGTCTTTAAAATGTGAATCTCACAGAGGCAGATCCAGCTTTTTAAATGGTTTAATAGGTTGTCAGTTCTCAGAACTAGCCAGCTACTGGTTTTGCCAGGCACAAAGGAAGTTCTCAGCAGCTTCTCTCTGAAAAATAATTTCCATGGGTGGCTTCTTCCCTCCTCACCAAATGTCAGTTAATGCAAAACCAGCACACTGGACCAGTCACTTCAGCACTTTTGTTCCGGTCCTCAGGTGGGGCAACTTGGGTAAAGCACCAGAGCTGCTGCAAAGGGGAAATCCCAGGGACAGCACAGGGCCCCTGCCAGAGAAACAGCCCCTGCTGTTCTCTGTTCTCTGCCCAACAAGCACAGACTCTCACACACAAGTCCTGCAGCCCTGACCCACACTGGGAACTCATTCTCTCCCTAAGGAGCTCAGAGATGGTCCATGGGGATCTGGCTGGATGACACTGACAAATCCTCTCTATCCCAGCTCTGTTCCCCATGGCTTGCTGGGTGCAGCACCCTCATGGGACATAGGGCCCCGCTGCTGCCCAGCTCCTCCCCAAACCCAAAGCTGAGGAGTCTTATCCTTTCTTCCCTCTCTACCCAGACAGCAGAGCCCTCACCCTCACAGGACTCTGCAGCTGAAACCTATGGCTTTTCCCCATCCTGAGCTGGTGTCCGGAGTGGTTGCATCACAGGGGACCCACACCTAAGATGGGAAGCACCACATGGTGTGACTGGAGAGCACCAGCATTGCAGGACCATCAGGCTCCCTTCAAAAGGCAGTCTCATGTTTTCACTCCCCAGACTATGCAGATGCAACATGACTTCCTTACCTATGAGCCTCACTGTTCCCAGAGCTACTGAGGTGCAGAGGGTGTCAAATTCTGCTTCTTCTGCTGTTGTCCTGAGTAACATTTCCATTGGAGAATTTCAACCAAGGTTTTGGAAAGTACTAAAAACTGACCAGTGCAAAATTACTTAGATAAGAATCTTTAAAATTTATTTGACTAATTGTGTTACATTCAATATTTGATGTGTTTCTCCTGGACAAAGAATTGGCATAAATACAAACAAGCCTTTGTGTGCCTTCCCTAAACAAATAAGAGATAAAGTACTAGAGACAACAGAACATAGTTCACATCTTCATATTTACATTTTACCTTTACTTTACAACTTAGCGCCAGGAATATTTACAAAAAAATACAATAAGAACAGAACGTTCATGTCTTGGCAACATACAGGAATTCATACAAATTTTCTATGATTGAAGCACATGATATCTGGCATTCTCACTTCTAATTACTCCTGCTAAATCCATGGAGAAAAGGGCTGTGTTTGCCTTTAAAGGTATCACTCAATTACAGAATCACGAAAATGCATCAAATTTGTCTGTGAGGCTGAAATTTAGTTCTCTCCTCTTCCTGGGCATGCAGAACCTTGTGAAAACAAACACTGTGACCTACAGTGAACCCAGCAGGTACAGCCCAGGAGGAGCCAGGGCTGCTCCTCCCTCCAGCCTTGCACACTGCTACCCACAGATGCACCAATTTCCACAGGCACTGTCCTCCCCCTCTCCTGCCTGCTGTAAGATTCTAATGCATTTCTAAAAGTACCTTTAAAAGAATGGCTTTTTTTTTCAAAGTCTCTATATGAAGGTACTAAAATGTAATTTCAACATTGTGTTTAACAACATGACAGTGATCACCTCCTGCTCTGTTAAAACAGAATTATGAACCCAAACTGAAAGGTTTGATGAAGAGTCCCAGTTTATACTGTGGAACTCTTGCAGGTTGAGGGCAGGGAGGTGTTTGAGCACTCATCCCCTCCGATGGACAGTGATGCTGACCCAAGCCACTCAAGCATCAAGTCAGAAATTTTATGCAGCAGTTTGTGATATAAAAAAAAAATCTAGATTCTTGGCTAACTCTTGCAATCATCAGGGAAATAAACCACATTTGCTCAGGCCCTTTAGGGGAAAAGCTCTCAAAACAGTACCCTGGACTAGCTAAAGCCATCAGAGTTTGGTCAGATTTTGAGAGGAGATGGATACAATTCCCAGACTGGTGGGGTGTATTTTGTTATGAAGCCCGAGACCTCTGCACATCTGGGGGAAGGGGGAACAGTCCCTGCAGGCACCCTTCACTGGCACAGTCTGCACAGGGTGCCCACTACTGTGACCAGTATTCAAACCATGAAGGATGGCAGCACAGCTCTGCATCACATTTTTGTACTGAACTGTGACTTTCCCAAAGGCTTACTTTTCCAGACAACCAATCCCACCACCTACAGCCAGGTCACACCACGTGTAACCTGCTCACCAGCTGGTTCTACAACTCAACTGACACATATTCTAAACATCCATCCCCGGGAATAGGGAGTGGTGACAAGTTACCTTCTTTCCAGACTCCTCCCAAGTCCTATGGATCTCACAGCTGTTACTGCTCCCATGGGTGCCTTTTGGTGAACATGGAAATAGACCCAAGACAACCCTTCAGCCAAGCACAGGTCTTTTTGAAGAAAGTAAATCTTCAGGCAGTCCACTTGGCTATCCCTGCCAGAAACCACTCAGGATTTGCCCCGACACCCATCTCTGCATTCGTGACTGCTCCCAACAGTCTGACAGCAGCACCTGGTGCAGCTGTGCTGCGTCTGCTAGGACTGTGTAACACTCAGCTGTAGTAAGGGGGTTGCTGTTACACTGTCAGTGTGCAGACACAGGGATTTCTCAGGATGTTTATTGGTTACACATGCATTGCTCATGGCTTTAAAACCAGTCGGTTCAAGTGTGTTTGGCTGTTAATTAGAGCCCATAGGTACATACACAGTGTGGGTAAATTTAGAGTCTGTGCATTAAGTTGCTCCTGGCAAGAGTGTGGCAGAGGAATGAGGCTGTCCAAGTTTCCTGCACAGGTTGGCCAATGCACCCAAATGCTGCCCTGGAGCTCCTCCTGCCATGTGCCACCTGGGCAGCACACAGGTATGGGCCAGCCAGCACACATCTTGCTACAGGAGTTTTCTTTGGGTGGTTTAATTTTTTTCACTTTTTATTCATCTGGATCAAATTCCAGAGCTCCAGAATGGAGAAGTCAGTGCACTTATTCCCTGCAACAAACACAAAGCACAGTGGTTGGCCACCTCAAAGTCCTTTCACGTGTATTTTTAGGGGCCCGTGTTTCCATGAACTCTGAAAAACCACATGGAAAGCCAGGAGCGAGGTCTGTCCTTGGCAGGTAAGTTGTAATGAAACAATTAAGACTGCTTCAAGTCATAACTGCTGCAAAAAGTAGCTCTGAAATATCAAAATTCAATGCCTGACAGGTATTACTACAATGCATAGCACAGCATATTAAAACCACTTTGGAAATAATGTGAAGAGCTCCCCCAAATTCGTGTTCACTCATCCTCTTCCATTACCCAGTGCTGGAAGGATCAGGATCCCCGCTGCTGTCAGGCTGCACCTCCCCAGGAGTGTCAGCCACAATTCCCTGCTGCACCACCAGCTGGGATGTACCAGAAGCCAGAGGTGCTCCCAGGGCTGCCCGCACCCACCACATCTGAGATCCCAGTATCACAGCTGTAGCTGCAAACATTTTTTCCCAGCACATCCTTTGAGTCCTGAACACATCAAAGCCACAGGCTGAAAATTAAAACTCCTGACCTAGGTGGAAGGGAAGCACTGCTGCTGAATGTGAGAACATGCAGGAGATTCAAAACAATGTCAAGTTATAACTCCAAAGGGGCTTTCATGGCATTGAAATTAATGGGGAAAAGAATTTTCTTTTTGAGTTGTTTGGTCTGCTTAACAGGAGCTTCTGAAAAGTGTTGTAGAAGCTGCAAAATCTGCTCATGCTATAAATAATAGGGAGGAGGCAGCCCCACACCTCAGATTTCAATCCAATGGAAGGAAGGCCAGTGATTTTTATGCTTTTTATGGAAACAGTGAGTAGGTGATATAGACACTTCAAAATAAATTAAGTAGTTGCATTAAAAAAAATTAAAAAATAAAAATCAAGCTACCGAAATGAGACATTTTGCAACAGACTTGAAAGTCATAACCTCACTTTTATATAACCAAAAGCTCTTATCCAATAACAACTTCTTTTGGAAAGTCAGTTAATTTCAGGTGGTGGTGGTGGTCTTGTATGCAGATGGACTCACTACGAGCCCTGGAGGGAGTAGCCACATACAGCATCTGGGCTTTGGATTTTAGGGCCTTCTCTTTCCAAGCAATCTTCCTCCTCTTGCTTCTGGTACAGAGATGGGTTACACCCATCCAATGAAGGATCTTCTGTTGAGCACTCAAGGGGGACTGAAAATGTCTTTGAAGTTCTTAGAGGGAAAGTTAATGCTCTGGAACAGACTCTTCCTCCAAGGGAAGATCCTGCTCCCTTGCCCTTGGACACATGGGTGCAGCAAGGTGTTTAATGGCAGGTTTGTTTCTATTCTTATTTCCATCCTCGTATGCAGAGATGGCTTCACTTTGATTGTTTTCCCTTCAGAGCAAGACTCCTACAGCTCCTAATTAGTCTGGAAAGGATGACTGGGTGAAGAGAGTATTTTGCTAGCATCCAGGAAGACTGGAATTCAATAATCTTCTGAGGGTAGGTGAATCATGTCAACATCCCAACTGCAGTGTTTCGGATTCATTTCTCATTCCTCCCACATGGTACCTGCTGACTTGTGCTAGAACATGATTTCCTGAATTCCAGAGGGCTGAGAAAATTTGTTGCTGTTATTTAACTGTTTTCATTAGTGTAGCCACCAAGCTCTGATCTAATTGTCCTGGAAGGATAATGACCTAGGGGTTGCAGCTCTTGAGCCCAACGTCCTGGAAAAGCGAGGTATAAAACTCTGGCTCCAGCTGCCTGTTCCGGTATTTATTGACAATATCTGCTATTTTCTGTTTTCGACGGACGTGGGGGGGGTTGTACGAATCACTTTCCAGCCTCTTTCTGCGACAAATATTTATTACTGTCTGTCTCACTAAAAAACCTGAAAAAGAAACAACATTTTAATCAAGCTTAAATTCAGTCCTGCACCCCTTTGCTGGCTTCCCAGCCAAAGACAATTTTGGGTTCTGTCCCATCTAAACCCAGGGGAGATGTTCAGCACCATCAAGTCAAGTCCTTTACTCTATGAACAATTGATAACAGGCAGCCATGGTCCCCAGGCTCGTAAAGACCTTCACTGCAAAGAACGAAGGAAGGGACTCAGTTGTACCCTAAACTGGCTGGAGGAGGAGTATTCTCTGCTTTGCCAGAGCCAAGCAGCTGCCTGGAACAGCACCCTTGGGACAAGAGGGCAAACCCAGGGCAGCCAAGACAAGAGTCACAGTACCACAGCCCCAGCTATGCCACTCATCTGGACCTTAGACAGGTCCTGAGGACACACCAGGTAATTCCAGAGGAGCCCTGAAAAAGTCAGTAGCTTTTTCTAGTAGGAATTGCAGAGTCCTTTCCCCTTGGAAAGAAGATGAGGAAAGACCTGATGGGTTGTGGCTGCAAGCAAATTTCCCCTCACTGCTTTGCCACTTTTGTCACCCCCTGTAACTCACACTGTTGGATGCAGATGGAGGAGGAGGTGGGGAATGGAAGTAGTAGCACTCAAAAGCTGGCAGCTAACTTTAACTTATTTTATGCTGAATGGAAATTTCTATGCCTCTAAAGAAGCAACTATTCCTTACCCCCTTTGCTGTTTCACAAGCTCTTTCTTAAAGACAGAAACATTTAGAGGACCTCACTACACACAAACTACACCTGCTGAACTTAGAGACAAGAAAAATTTCACTATATTAACAGTCCTGATGCAGCAGAAAAACAATCCAACTCTAGGAAAACATACCTGATAGTTTTTCAGTAAAAAGCCACTGTCATCAGCTGAATTAATAGATGTTACTTAAGGGCCCAGATCTGGCTTTGATTTGCCAATCACTGAATTAAGCATACAAACCCCAGAACCTGAAAGTCACCTCCAACAGCAGCTTTAGGGTTATGGACAAGTAACTTAATATTCGTTATTTCATTTTACTCTGTCCTGTGTACTGCTTTTGCCAGATGGGATTTCTAGATACTGAAGCTAAATAGCACCAATATCAGAACAGGTCTATGAATCCATCCAGGAACAGAGAAAAAGGCAAAGGGAAATCAGAGAACCTGTTAACACATACCTGTATGGTATTTTTATTGAACACATAAGAAAATCCTCAGTTGCTATGGTTTTAATCCCTGTCTGGCTTCTAAACCAGAAGGAACACACAGCATGCCAGCAAAGTAACAAATTCCATAGCACCCTCTGGTGCTCCTTGGTTCTCTGTGCTAAACACTAAGGTCACATTTTAGATCTCTCCTATTTACACAAGCCCTGTTCCTAGTTCCAGCGCTCTCTCCTGCTACCCTGGCAGCCTAGTGCTGCCCACCTGCTCCCTCTGCTGCTCCTGCTCGCATTGTTACTGCAAAATGCATGGCTTTCATTTGTTCAGCATTGTCTAACACCTTCTCCAAAGAAAGATTCCAGAGCATGTACTTTGCAGATATATCATTATTTTTTTAAAAATAAAATATAAACATGAACATTCCTAAAACCTTTTAGCTTACCAAGAGCTCTCCTACTGACTATCATTCCATCCACCAGTGGGATAACCATGTTGAATTTTCCAGTTGCTCCTTGTAGTTTTATCCTGAATAAGCCAGTGTTTAAAGGATGGATGAAGATCACAGGAACTTCCTTCTCAGGAATGGTAGATCTTAAGGGAAAAACACAACTGTTGAATCACTTCTAAAACACTATTTCAATTAATCCACAGATGAAAAATGACCCCTTTAAAAGAAAGTTTTAAAATGCCTCAGGGCTAAGGCAGCAGGATCCCAGGGCATGCTGTGGACCCTCAGAAGGGCTCTGTCAGTCATGCTGTGCCTATGGAGCTCTGTTCCCACAGGACTGGAGAGCCCTACAGCCAGGGTACAGCATGTATGTAGCATTAGCCACCTCACAAGGGAGCCAATCAGGAGGGAGACTCATCACAGACTCAGATAAAACTGGACATTTTTTGTTCTTTAATTTATATTTTATCTGCAGTGATATGAAAAGCTCTTTCACTTTTTCAACCAAAAAAATAGTCCACTGAGACATCAATAAAAATACTGAAAATAAGAGCAGTCTTACCTCAGGGAAGTGCTACTATTGGCTGTGGTTTCCACACCAGTGCTAGTCTCAGATACCAGATCAGGGAGGGGGAAGTTTTCTGTTAAGAACAGGATACACCAAATAAAGTTTATCTACTATAGTTTTGGATTTTCTTTTCTTTCTTGTGTACAGGGAAAGATTATCATCAGTCAAAACCATGCATTCCTCAAGCATTTATACCACTAGTGTTCTTGCACATTTAGTGTCCTTGTTTAGCTTCCAGTTTCAGCATTCATGGAGGGTACACACACCTCAGCCATCTACATTCAGCAGATGAGGTCCCAAACCCTCCATTCTCTCAACCCAAAGGTCAAATCCCTAGAGGAACCATGAAAGCAGGAAGGAGATAAACTACTTCAACCACAAAAAGAACTTTCAAATTATTATTCATGGCATCTTCACCCATCCACAAGTGATCAGCCTCCAGAATACTTACTGCTAGAAGCATTGAACAATGCCAACCACTCACACCATAGTTCCCTTGAGCCCTGATCCCACAAACAGGATATCCTTCCTCAAATCCAAGTTCTACGGATCTCCACCATCATCTACAACTCTGCTCCCATGTACTTGATAACAAAGACTGGATTATGAAGATGAATGAGGAAATAGTAAGAACTTGAATCCCTTAAGGGGATTTGGAACTTCTCAACAACTTGTTGAGGGGTTAGGAGATGTTGAGAATTACAGAAGTACAGTTCAGGTAGCAGGACAGTGCTTTCCAGCAGAAGGAGTCTAAGGCCCAAACCCAGATGTTGCCATCAAAGCTGAGATGATAAGGGTACACAACAGCTGGAGCAAGCAGAGGGAGAGCATGGTTAGCTCTCCCATGCTCTCATGGACACACTCTGAGATGGAGAAAGAGGGAGGGCAGCAGTTGGCACTGGATGAAAACCTTGACTAAAAAGTGACAACTTTTCACTCTCCAAACTCAAAGATGTACCAGAAGCATATGGCAAAAGCCAAGAACATAAGGAACATATGGCAGAGCCTCTGGGCTAGGAGTCACTTCCAAGAGCTGCCCTCCCCTCCATCCAACTGCCAGGCTTACTGAGGCTCACAAGCTCATTTCCTCAGCTTCAGGCAGAGAACTCTGGGAAATTCCTGTGGCTGCTGAAAGGAACAGTCAAGCAGAAGCCTGTCTGTGTAGCACAGCTGTTGTCCCTGCAGTGAAGGGGCTTTAGCTGCCACCCAAGAAGGAAGTGGGTCAGGGACACCAGCTTGAAACATACTCTGGGCCAATTTCTGTACAAGGAATGATGATGCAGAACTTGCTGTCTGCCTCCTGATCTCAGTAAGGCTCTGAAGGACATGCTGTGGACACGGCGGTCTTCCTGAGAATTTATATCTACACTTAACAGGAAGCCTCCTCTTGATTGTTGCTCCCATCCCCTTGGTTGCTTTACTCTGGAAGGAGCTAAGGCCTTGATTAAGGTCCACCCTTACTGACAGACTGGGAATGAGGATTAGAAATCAAAGACAGAAGCAACAGTTTCTGACTAGTCTTGCAGACACTGTTGGGCTAGGCCAGTGTACAGAGACTCTCGCATAGCACTGAGGGCAAGCCATGGCTTGGAACCAGCATGCAAGAAGCTCCTGGGGACAAAGAATTCCTCAATGCTGTTCACCATGGCCACGCCACGGCTGTAACAGGATAAGCAAAGCTGGGTCTCTCCCAGAGCAGCAGCACTCTGAGGCAGAGAGGAAACACCAAACTAAGAAACTAAGTTGCATGAGGAGCAGGAGGTTGCCAGAGCAGCACAGCAGAAAGGGAGCATAGAGCAGGCACCTGAGTGCAGAACAAATGAGCCCTCCCCTGAAGAGAGAACACAGGGTTCCAAAGGTGCCATCACACCAAGGAGGAGGATGATCCCTCCAGCACAGAAGCTGCAAGTGTTAGAAGCCATTTTTTTAAAGGAAGAAAACCAGATCCACTCCTGGAAGACAACAGCTGAGGAGGATTCAAAAGCAAGGGAACACACCCACTTTGGGTACTGAGCTTAAGAAAGTTCATGACAGCATTTCACTATACTGCCAGTGCTAAAGGAAACTTCAGATCTACATATGTCACTAATTCATGTACACCCTATGGATCACAACTCAAATACTGAAGAACTGATTCAGAACCTTAGTGTTGTTACAGACAATAATAAGGACTTAGTTTGATTGTGAAGGTGGGGAGGCCCTGGCACAGACTGCTCAGAGAAGCTGTGGCTGCCCCATCCCTGGAAGTGCTCAGGCTGGATGGGGCAACCTGGTTTAGTGGGAGGTGTCCCTGCACATGGAAGGGGGTTGGGACTAGATGAGCTTTAAGGTCCCCTCCAATTCAAACCAGTGGTTCCATGATCTAGCATTTTATTAAAAAAAAAAAAAAAAAAAAAAAAAAAAAAATGGAACAGTTTTATCTCTGGTTCCTGCCCTGTTGTTACTTTAGTGAACAGTTAGGAGTTGTACATACCTATATCATCATAACGTTCCACCCAGACCACATACACTTTGGTTTCAGGTCCCATTGGTGGAATGGTTCGGCCCTGAGGAATCCTCTTGGATCTAGAAGTAGGACTCAGCTGTTTTGAACATAAGGGAAGAGTAGCATTTGCAAACATCATGAGCCCAATAATACAGCCAACAAGTACTTCCCTGCTGCTCCTAAGTCATTCATATCTCAGCCAGGTACAGATTCTACCAGCTATTGCACAGGGGCAGCTGTGCTGGAAGTACTCACTGCAATCTGGGTCACCAACCCACTTTTATTCAACACAAATTAATATATATATGTATATTCACCCTTGAATCAGTTACATGTTTATCTTAATGTACTTGAAGACCTTAAATGAGTAACTAAATATACACTTGGAAGCAAATTCTAAAAAAGTAATCCATAGTAATAAGTCTTTTGCTTACAGATAGAACAGTTCATGGTTTTCTGCTTTGTTAGTGTACAAAAGCAACTTCTGGTATTTCAGACGCAACTGACACACTATTTTAAATTAGGTAGGTAGGAAAGGCGTTCATGTCTATCCATCTTCAATTTCCAAGCATGGATTTGAGGCTGAATTACTATATAAATACTGCATATACTTTTTCCTGCATGCATTTCAAGATTTCAGGATGCATGGTATTACCACTTAGCATGTCTAATTTTTATATTTAAGTAATGTAATCTTGCTATCTCCTACTGTAAATGCAAATTCTGGCATGACCAAAGCAGGTATCAAAGATTAATGACAAGGAACAAGTAGGTCTATATCCCAGGAAACCAAATCATATACTATCAAAAATCCTGAGCATTGCCAGCATGTTTCTTGAAAAGAAAAAAAAAAAAAAAAAAGCATCATTTTTCAATGCAAGTTTTCCCTTACCCGCTGGGAAGGATTAAGATTGTCAGTATGATTGGGGAAGAGTTCAAGTGTCAGAGGCTGCTGCTTCAATATTCCTGGCAGCAGATCCATGTTGGAGTCACTTTCCTGGTCAGAGACACTGCTTTCCAGTGAATCAGCTGTAAGCCAGATGAAAAAAAGGAAGTTTTTGTTTATTCTTCCACCAAAAAACTTAAGCTGTCATCATTTGACACTAAAAAAATGTTATAAGGCTTTTGAAACTAGACATACATAGATGTATGGTCAATATAGTCCTCGTAAGCAGGAAGATGAGTTAGGAAACAACTGCCAGTTATTCCAGAAACAGCCTGCCAATAAAGCACTCCCTATGGACTTACACACACCCCATCAACTTCCTAAAGAATACAGTCTCCTCCTTCCTACGCTACACTGTATTTTATTCCAGGGAACTTTTAGCATGCCAAAGATGCCATGAAAGCTGCTGCTTCTCTGCTTAGCAGTGGAACAAACACTCCTCCATGTGCTGCAGGAGCACATCACTGACAGGAAAGGGAAAAACAAATAGGCATTAATAGTTGGTGAATCACATGTCCAACCTAAAGCACCCTAGCAACAACAAAATTGCCATGCATGCCTGGACATCTACTGAGGTTCAGACTGAGAAAGACACAGAACAGAAGCCACATCAGGAACGAGTCTGAAGATTAGAATACTGTAATTTAAACATCCATGCCTTTCTGACAAGGATCTTGTTAAATACACTACTTAATTAATTTATTTTAGGCTGTGGTTCTGAAAGAGTTCTCTAACAAAAAAAAATGTTGATTCTATTTTTGTATAGAGCATGTACAGAGAGATCTTACTGAGGGATTCCACTGGTGATGGGACAACAAAGGCAATTTCTGTCAGGGCATCCGCATAATACAGCACCTTCTTCTGTCCATTGAAAATACTTGCCCCAACATCTTCTGAGATAATTAGATCATCTGAAATGGACAGAAAAGGAAAGGAAAGTTTAGCCAGAAGGAAGATTTTTACACACAGCATCAGAGATGGCCTTCAAATACAAAGTGCAATCAATGAGAAGAAACCATGTAAATCTCACTTTAAAATGAAAGGACTCAAATCTCATGGCTAACAACCCTTCTCAGATAAATGGTTTTACTGTCTTGAAGGAAAAGGCATTTTGGGTTGGGAGTGGCTTCATTCTGAACACATTTCTGATGCACTGGATTGTTTAGTTCCTAGTATTCTAGTAAGCACACCTGCCACAAGAATACATCTACTATCTATTTCTGAGCATTCTGCCTAGCAATATCTTTCTGTTAGTCATTCCATTTCCAAAGGATCCCTAACATTTATCTCTTCAGTCTGATACTATTCTAGAATTCAAGCCAGTTTTCTATCTCTCTTCAGTCTTTTCTCTGCCAAGCAGAGTTAGAAAAATATCAATGTGGACATGATTTCTGAACCTGAGAGAATTTCAAGCTCTCAGGTGCTAATTGTTCCCAAGGGAAAAGCTTTAAGAACTGTCTTTCTCAAAGACTATTTGTGGAAATAAGGGATTGCTTTCCCAAAACAAGACACAGATATTCTGAGAGTGTTTTCTCTCTTGTCCCACCAATGGGAGGAGGGAAATGTTGTTCCTTCTATTAATCAGGGTGACCTGATCAGAACAGCTTATATAAGGGTTCTAAAACCCCGCAATAAAGGCTTTTCTTCGCCTCATGAAAAGCTGCTGTATGTGTGATTTCTCGGAACCCTTGCAATATTTTGTGTCCTCTAGCAACAAATCAATGCAAGAAAGCTCCTCATTCTCAGTTCCCACTGTTTCCCTCACCACACTGAGGCCAATACAGGCCTTCAGAGAAGAGAAATAACTTCCCTCCCCACTTTTCCTTCCCCATGTCACCTCTAGAAAGACTAGCAAGGACTTTAAAATGAATTATTTCTCTGATCCACTTTACAGAAGGGTTCCTGGGATAGCTGCCTTGGCAAAGCCACTGGAGCACTGAAATGCAGCATATTGACAGAAAAGTGGCCAGAGGCATATTGAAGACTCCAAGCTGTTCTTCAGCATCAGGAAAAGGTTCCCACATCTCCAGTGTACAGGGTCCCAAGGAGCAGCACCACAACTCACACCCAGCTCTTTAGGAACTTCTTTGATTTTAGGGGTGCTGCAGGGAAACATTCCCATGAAATTATTTTAACCACAACTCACTGGAAGCTATTTTAGACTCACAGAATAATTTAGACTGGAGATCATCGACTCCAATTGTTAACTCAGAACTGCCAAACTCACCACTAATCTATGTCCCCAAGTCCCACTTCCAAATCCCTCCAGGGATGGTGACTCCACCACTGTACTGGGTAGCCTGTGCTAGTGCCTGACCACCCCTTCCATAAAGAAATTTTCCCTAATATCCAATTTAAACCTGCACTGAGGCCGTTTCCTCTCATCCTGTCATTCATTACCTGGGATATTGACCCTGACCTGGCTATAATGCTTTTCAGGGAGTTGTAGCGAGTGAGAAGGTCTCTCCTGAGCTTTCTTTTCTCCAGGCTGAGCCCTCCCAGCTCCCTCAACTGCTCTTCATTGGACTTGTGCTCCAGCCCGTTCACCATCAGAACCAGACTAGAAGTAATCTGGCCTTCCTCCCTTCCACTTCTGAATGCTTTTTCTGTTTCCTTCTTCCCTGAGCTGCTTGAATTAATTCAGCTATTTAGTGGTCTGTGTTTTCATTCTGAAAAGATTCAAGTTGGAAAGTCCACATCAAACCAGGTCCCTTGCTAATTGTGGGACCTGCCTTCTGCAGATGTTCTGACACAGCCACTGTACAGGAAGGTCAGAAGACTCTGCCTCTGAGAAAGCACAACCTGACCCTGTCCTTAAAGCAAAATCAAATCCAGACTTGGCTGTAATCCATCTGACTTGCTCAGAGAAAGCAATGCCTCTGTACTCTAACCTCTTCCCAACACTTCCAGCCTTCAGTGGATTGTACTTTTATTCCATAACTTAAGGGAGAAGCCTCCATCTAGCTGCAGATACAGGTGAAAGGCACTTCTAGACACAGTAAATGGACAGTAGAGCAAGTGCTGCTTAAGCACCTGCAGTTGTAATGGTGTCATACCTGATGCCAACAACAGGTCAAGGATGATGAACAAGCTGCACCAGCCTTACCACTGCCTTTGAGTGCCCCACCAGAGGCTGTGGCTCTGGAGATCACCCCAAACAAGTTTGGGCCTTAGAGCCAGTCCAGACGCTACCACTTCCCAGGGCATCTGACCAAGTTGTCCAAGGCAGAATCTAACCCAGCCCCCAGCTTCCCATCCTGGGATAGCAGCTCACATTCCTGAGGATCATTTTGGGTGTCAGAATGGGGAGAGGGTGGTATATGACAAGCTCAGGGGAGGAGTTTCTTGCTCCAGTGAAAAAAAGCAGAGTCAATGAAGCAAGACATAGAGCCAGGTGCGGGTTCCAACAACTCCAGGACCTATAAACAGCAGTTTGATTTAATATTTCATTTTAATCTACCCCCCCTGGTATTTCAAGCCTATTTGCCAATACACAGAAAAATCTGCAACCAATTTCACCTGAATACTGTTTTAAAGATTCATCAAATCTTAAAAAACATGGCTCAGAGGTATTTTTTCTGCTGAGGCTACTTTCTCCCAACAACATACAGATGTTTGTTTTACTCACTTTGACTAAAAGCTTAATTCAACATTTACACATTTTTTTCTAGCAAACATCATTTATTAAAAAAAACGAAACAACAAAAACCCAGTGTTCAGATAGGTACACAGGAGCAAGAAAATTGTCTTCTAAAGGAACCTAAACATTTTAATTTACTAAAAAAGACATTTACTATGTCTTACCTTGTTCAGGTCCCTCTTCATCACTGCAGCTGTTGATTGACCAGCTTGTTGAGATGTGACCAGTCCACCCAGGGTGCTTCCCAACATCGACAGACCAACCAAGAGACAGCAAGAACTCCAGGAAGTGGGGCTGAACAATTCTGGAAGACTCCATGTTCTTCAGGATCTGAAACCACCAGCAGCACCATGTTGGTACAGAAGCAGGAGAGAGGTCTCTTCCTCCTCAGCTTTTTAATTAAATTTTTGTCACCAACATGTTTTTGCCCAAATATAGCTACAGAATAAGCCTGGAACCCCAGACTTTCTACATGGACATTACTCCCTGCACCTCATCATCCTCCTATTCTGCTTGACCTTGTCCTGTTCAATCAACCCAACTTTCTGCCAGCATTTTCAAAGCCTATAAAACAGTGAATTAAATGGCTGGAAATGGCAATTTTGAGACTCAAGCACTCATCAGAAAAACCAATGAGTACTCAGTGCAGAGCCTGCATTAGCACTAAAGGTAATACAAGGGTTTTCTAGACAGTTTTCATTATTAGACTATTTCGCTAAAAATTGAGGAGAAAGGTATTTTCCTCATTACTCACCTGTACATGACAGTGGTTTAAAGGGCAGGCCTCACAGCACATTAGATTATGAAACAGATTTTCCAAAACAGTTTTCAGCAACATCGAGTGTGCACTTTAATTACACTGTCCTGTTCATGTTAAAATTTAATTCTACTTATGACAGAGATATGGGACATTTACACATGTTATGGCAATTTTTACCTCATTATGCCCAAGTGAGAGTTGAGCCCTTCACCAAACACCACACAAGGACATGTGTGATTTGGGTACCAGAACAGAACAAACAATCCATTCATCCTTTCTGGACCATGCAGGTATTTGTTTTGTGGTAGAAGCATCAATCATTTTGCCTTGTGCAGGGGTAGAACACTGGGACACAGGCCCAAACAAAGCAGAAACTGCAGGGATGGGTGCTGGAAGCTTCCAGGCTGGAGGCTTTGTGTAGCCACATAGTCCTGACACCCCATCCTAATGCCTCATACAGTGTTCAGCAATGACTAGACACACTGCATTGAAATATCATTATTAATTCTCATTACTAAGCACATTGAAACCAAAGCTGTGCTTCAGAACAAGTCAGGGTAAGCGTGGGTTGGAAGACATAAGAGCTCCATAAGAGTGTATAAGCATTCTGCTAGCTCAGCAAGTGCACGTCTCAGCTCAAAGGCAAACCCAGCATATCCTGCTTCATAGCTAACTTTGCAGATGAAAAGACTCTGCACTGGCCACTCTGAGTGACAATTTGAACACTCACAGACAAATGATCCTGGTTTCAAGAATTGTGTCCCACACCAAAGCAGAAGGTGCTGCAGTGTTCAGTGCATTCACAGTGATATGAGGAGTTGGCACAATGATTTATTATGGAAGTCACACTTCTAATCTTTACTATGAGAGTTATGAATGGAATAAGAAGGTAATAGAGAAACATCCTATCCTAATGAGCCCATTAACCCTCTTAGCAAGTTTCTAGGTCACAAAGAAGTCACAACTTAGATTTACACAAATTAACCTGATTAACCCAATCGCCTTTGAATCTAAATATTATAGCACAAACAGTTACAATGCAATAATACTTCCTTACTTGCAGAAACTTTTTCATTCCTTTAACACGTGTTTAACATTAGAATTAAACCAAACTACCTTGACACTGCTCATTGCTGGAACAAACTGCAACCTTCCCTGCAAGCTGAGCGTACAAAGCTGAAATGCCTTTCTGATCTGAATCTTTGAACTCTACAAATAAGGACAATAAGGACAGAACAGATAATAAAGATACTATTAACATTTTAATATATATCTTATCTATATTTAAAAATATATTAAATTTGTTACAATAATCCTAAGTGTGAGCAACATACTTCAACCTACATATGAAGAGTATAGAGTGACTTGTAGCTCACACTGGTTCTGACACTCCATTCTAATCACTAGCACTGATGCTTTATTCACTTGGAAATTACAAGAAACAAGACAACATCAACTAGTTGGCATTCTACACTTTCACTTACCTCCTGGCTAGTTTTCTGGCCTGCCTTCATGTAGAAAATGAAAACAGTATCAAAAGGACGACAAGGTAACAAATCCAAGTAGCCAAGGTCATCAAAAAACCCAGGTAGAGCAGAGTCAAGTGCAATCAGGTGAGGAGGTAGACGACTGTTAGTAGGTTCCTGTCCAACAGACAGAGTTTAACAGCTTAAAAATCCATCTTTCTTAATTGAAAGGTCTTCATGGCTTCAATGGCAATCCATTAAAATATAAAAAGAATTTCCCTTCTCTAAGAGAAAAATTATACAGGGATTTCTGATGCAATAGAACATCTTGTCACTGTAAATGAGTAACAGCAAGCACAAGAGGTTGACAATTTCTTGCATTCCACTTCCATTAAATAAAAGTGGTACTTTGCCAGTGAGAGACATAATATTTTGCTCAAGAAGAGCACACAACAAAAACAGCAGATGCTTTCAGATTATCACAGCTATGCACATTGCATGTGCAGTTTTAAATTAACTTAAACACCAGTAATATGCAATATACTCAGCACTCTCAGACAATATTTTTGCAAATGCTCTATAGTCTACTTTTTCTGACAGCTTTCAGGAAGGAAAAGCAACAAATACAAGGGAGAATCAGCAGGTAAGAGACAGAATTTTAAATTAAGAATATGGATCACCTCTAAAAATAATTATTTTAATTTAAAAAAGAAGCCTCTACATCTATTATGTACTAAGTGTTTATGTGTGATTAAACCACCTCAGCACAACCACCTCTGAAGCAAAACTTCTGTGTCAGTTATATTTCAGAGAGTCTTCAAGTACCACCCCAAAACCTAATTCAAGTTGTGGAATGATTTTAAGTGTGAACATTTGAGTGTGCTGGCTTGTGCATTCACTGAAAACAAAGACATAGAGCATGTTCAGCTTGAGGCTCAGCCTTTCACAGTCCTGCTCTTAATCCTGGAATACTGGAGTCTATCACTTGATTTGATTAGACTGCAGCTGAAAAGTAGTTGGAACTACATAGATCATCTTCCACTAACAAAACTTATTTGTCCTCTTTTGTCAAGCCAGACCACATGGGAACTGGAGGAACCAGACAACACCAAGACGTATCAGATCACCTTCAATGCTTCTAATGAGAGGAAGCCGAAGTGAGAGAGGAACAGACGTGCTGTCTGGAACTCCTGTGCTGGTGGCGGGGGCTTACACTCCGTGATGGGATCAGGAAAGCTCTTCTTCCGCCACTCCTCTTCACTTCTCTGATCTATGGAAGTCTCAAAGACAATCTGCTGAGCCATTCCATTCCTCAGCTTCTCATGGCGCTCTTCAAGCTAGAAAACATTGTGTGAACTGCTGATGTCACCAAATTTACGAAGATCCACTAAGAAAACGGTTCCATCACTTAGCAAAGCTCTGCAGCAGCTGCTGCAGTCCACCACCAGAATGGTTACTAAAACACTTTCAAAAAGACTTCGCAACATTGTAAACTGAGCACCTAAACACCCTGTTGGTACAGGAGAGCTCTGTGACTATCCAGTATCAGCTATGGCTTCCATTCAAGAGAACAGAACCTAAAGCAAATTAGATCCTGCCAAACTTTAAAATATTTGAGACATGCACTCTCTTCTTCCTCCAGGAAGGTCCCAAAAAAGACCCTTCCATTTCCCCAGAAGAAGCAACAAAGTGCAAGTCATTGCTTCCTACAATTACAGAGTATTAGGATCAGTAATAAAACATGTTGAGCAGTGTCTCCCAAATAATACATCCAAAGCATTGTCATCTTCCTGGAGAAGTGCACAGTTTTAACTAATTTGCAGAGGTTATTATTCCATTAATATCAAACTGGACAAGCCAAAGAGTAAAAATATTTACAGTAAGACATAAGTGCATGACTCTCAAACAGACAAGAACAAAAACCCAAGAACAAAATCAAGTCAGAGACAGTTACTTACTTCCTGATTCACGATTTCATGTAAATCTGGAATGCTCAAGTCAGCTTTCACAAATGGAATCTTGTCCACTTCTTCAGGGAAAGGGCGGTGTTTAACACTGTATTTCAACCCAACATCATTTTTAGGAGCTGGTCGAGGTTCTGGTACAAATGTCTGAAAAAAAGAGGTTGCTTTACATTCACAGTATTACATCACTAGACAATATTAGAACAGATGAAAAACATTTCCTCTCCCCTCACTGCCAGAACTACACTAGTCTATTAATTAGTCTACACTAATCTATTAGTGAGCAGCATCATTAGAAAACATTCAATACTTTAAACTAAAAGACCTGTATTAAAAATGTGACTGTAAATTTTAAAAAGACAGAACTATCCATTTGAAATCTATGAACCCTTCAAAGCATCTAGCCTGTAAACAGTTGCAAACCCCACAAAAATGGCAGACTTACATGGCAACATCTTAATTTCAGCCCATTCTAACTGTATTCAGACAAAGTTGGCAAGTATTTGAGAAACTCCATTTCAATCCTCCTGACTGTGACAATCACAGAATAAGCCAAAGAGAGCAGCAATGCTGTGGGTCAGGAGATGCACTGCCAGAATAGCCAAAGGTCTTGCATCACGGATCATGATGCAATTTTGACATTGCTACTGTACTACATCATGTTCTATACTGTCATTATGTAATTCCAAACTTCCAAGTTACCCAAGAAAGCAACAAATTATCTAGGTGCAGGTTTAGAGGTGCATCAGCTCCAAGCAAGCAAGATCATTCATTGCATCTTCAGTGTTGTCTTCTAAGTTTACTACTGATTACATTTCAAAAGGGCAAAACCATTAACAATAATGTTTTAGAATGCCTCCAAGTTGGAAAAGTTTCCTTAAAACTGGTGAGTAAGTCAGCAGTCAGATCATGGCTTGTCCTTTAGTGCAGGAGGTAGCACACCTGGACTGAGATTATTTAGCCAAGGGTCTCAGCTCCAGAGATAGCAGAGCTCCAAACACATCCTGGATTGTCTTCCCAAAGGCTGCTTTGCAGAGACTACACTCATCTAAATGAACATGCCAGCTGAGACTGAAAAGCCCTCATTTCAGTTACATTACTACCTTTCTTATTGAGGGTCATGGGAAGACTTTAAAGATTTGGAGAAATTCACAGACAGATATTTCCATGACAAGAGTATATGTTCCATTAGACAACTGCAGTAAGAATTTTTTTCTGTAAAGCAAGACTGAGGTATTTCTCCTCCACCATTCCTGTCCAGAGCTGTTCCAGAGTTCCAGCTAGATAATTTTTTTCAGAGGGTTTACAGCCATCTTTGCAACATCAGGTTTTGTAGCTTGAAGACCTGTTCTCTCTGCAGCACCACATTCTACACCTCCAGACTTCACTCCCTCTGCAAGGGCTTTGCCTAATACCTGAAAACTAGCACCAACACTCCTGCATATACACTAAATACACTGTGCCTTACCCCATCGCTTCAGAAAATGCTTTCAGAAAAAAAGGGGGAAAAAAAAAGAGAATGCCCCCTCCCTTAATAGCAAGTCTGCAAGTCAAAAAAGCAACAGCACTTTCACAGCCTGTAGTTAATCTTAAACACAAGTGGTAAGGAGTCACCAGAGATATTGCACATTACCTACAGCTAAAGGCCCCATGGCTCAGCTTTAAATGTATAATCACCACCTTTGGGGGCTGTCTCACATTAGTGGAATTTCTGCTGAACATCTCTAAGTTAAAGATTTCTTTACGGGCTTTGATAGAGACCTTTTGATTTGCTTTAGCTCCTCTTGGTAAAAGACAGAGCTGCTGGGCCCACGCAAATCTTCCAGATGTCCCACGGATCAAAACCGTGACAGAGGGGAAAGAGTCATCTGCAAAGCACATGGGTTAAGAGAATAAGACATCATCATATACTACAAACAGTTCACTGTGTAATCATTCAACAAGAAAAAAACGCAGGCATGACAGCAGAAGTTTTTCTTTCATGGTTAACTCCTCCCTAACTCTGAAGAAAACTGGTGAGAAGCAAACAAATCTCTCTGCAGCAGCAAAGTACTAGTCTACTTTGTCATTTCAATACTTGCCAGCTCAGTTTCATCATTAAAAGCAACTTTTATCCAAATTTATTATTTTTAATTCATCATTTGCCTCCAACATACCTCTGAGGAAATCAAATAAGATTGTCCAGTCACTGCCTGTTTAGGTAAGACAATGACCATATGGAGACACCAATTCCATGATTCTTCCATGACCTTCTGCAAAAGTTCCTCACAAACAGTAGCAGTAAGAACAGTGGAAGGACAAAAGATAATGGTCGAACAAAGACTCAGAAGATTCTGACTCCACAACATGGAAAATTTTTCCCCACAAGAGACACAGAGCTAAGTGGTCCTTTCAGGTTAGCAAGACTCACTTGGGCAACACCAGGTTGTGTTATCCTGGTCCAAATCCAGTGCTGGCCTTTTATACAGCTGGAGGTCAGACCATAGAGACCTGAAGCACATTTCTACTGGCACACTGATGATTTTAACATTTTGGGGATTTCAGTCTTCCTTCAAAATTGAAAAGGCTACTGATATTAGTCACTTTAGATGAGATCATCATACTTGATCATAAGCTTTTCTTCTTAAAGGCATTTGCATTTATCTTTTGTGCACATAAACCACACACTTGCACCATCAGGTAACTAACAGAAGTCTATTCCCTCCCCAGTATTCCCTGGGAAGTTGAGGTTGCAGCATAGCCTATTCACACCCTGTACATAAACACACACACACACAGAGAACCAAACTAGCTCATCAGTCACTCACTCCCATGATCTGCGTCAGAACTGGCCTGATGTACTTGTGTATTATTACAATTAATCTTGTAATTCAAACTGGATTTGTAAGCAAGCTATACACAGCAAGAAAAGATAATCTGATTTGTGATTCCAACAGCTTTGCAGGATTCCACAGTAACACATTTAGCCAGGGCAGAGTGAGGATGAGGAGTGTTTAGCCATTGTAGCATGCTCTAATCCACTCTAGTCAGGGATACACTTGCTCACAGACTGAGGGTGGACATGTGGCAATGGCTCCCAGCATTGTCACTTCCTGCAAGATCTATTCAGTGATTCTCAACATGGTCAGAGCACTCTAGACTATAATGCAACTTCTCAGCACCAGTTCATACACTTCTGTCCAATCTCTGCTTTCAAGACTAGTTTCTAGTCTCCATCCTATATACAGATGAGGAAAATATACTGGGGACAGTACATCAGCTGTAACATAAGTTAGTATTTAACTGAGGTAGCATGTTAAAGAATTTTTATCTATTCTATTGGGTAACACTATAACACATGAAGACTTACAGAGGATCAGTTATTCTGTTCAAAGTATCATTTAATATCAGATTTTTGTAATGTAAGTTCCTGAAGGTCAAAATCTATGAGGCTGAAATGAGTTAAATTCAGTTGTGAAAGCCAACACCCTGTGACAAGTCTCCTTTACAGGAGGTGTCATTGACAGAACAGGATCAGACATGGGAAAGTTATAACAGCTCCTAAGCAACTACAACCACCTGAGCTGAAAGCACCCACAGAAGTATGTTATAAGAGAGGAAGCCTAAAGCAAGCAGCAGCAATGGTGCAAGAATAAAGGAGACACACTAACTATATGTTAATCACTTGTCCCAATCAAGTCTCCTATACTCTTTACATTTTTATTCTTGTATGAACAAGGATGTTTCAAAATGTATTGTTATTGCTTTTGTCCTTCACCCATTATTTCAATGGCAGCCAGCAGCAAGTATATGACCTAACTGATTGAAAGAGTTGGACAATTGCATGAACAGTTTGGGTAGACTTGTGCCTGTTTGATTATTAGTGGCATTTAAGTTACTCCCACTGCTTTGCCCCAGAGCAGCTCTCTTCTGTGTGCCCACTCACAGACAGGAAAGCCCCTGAAATGTGAGAGAGACACTTGATGAAGTACCTTTGTTTTGCAGCCCTATACAGAAAATCTGAACTTACTCTGTTCATTCCCTAGAGGCTGCTCCAACATGGCCAGGATGACACTGTTATCCAAAACAAAGTAACGGAAGCTGTGTTTATTTATGGTAGGGAGGCGGGAATATTTAATTAACGTGGTTTCATTCACCAAGCTGCAAGGAGAAGCAGGACCACTGGGAGAAGGAAATGCTCCAAGTAACTGCATAATGCTGCAAGTGAGAAAAAAGTTGAGAGTTATGACAGATTAAGTGAACTGTTCCATCCAAGCACAAACTTTCACTCATACCCTTCATCTGTATCATGACCTAGCAGTTATGTTATCATGGCTCTCACCCATCAGGTTGTTTTAAGTTAACCAGCACCTTCAGAAAAACATGCATGAAAACCTACAAAGAAGAGTACTCTGCCTATAGAAAAAGCTTCTTTATAACATGGGTTATAAAGATATTAAGACACGCTATAAAGCATGAAAATCTGTACCCTTTCATAGCTATATGGTCATTTAAAAAAATTATTTCTCCAGTTATCCATACTTTAGCCCTTTCATATCAACAAGCAGGACAGACATGGCAGTACACTAGTTACAATTGCCGTTGCTTTCTTCAAGTACAGATTACAGTAACTTAAAACCCTTTAAGGGGTTGGGACCCTAAAAGGTCCAGGATCACACAAGCACAGCCATCTCAGATGGTAATCACCCCTGGAAGAAAGCCTCCAGGTGGGGTCAACACTGCCTACCTCCTTGGTGCCACAGCCTTAGGAAGCCCCTAGAAGCATTGTTTTAAATAATTTGAATTTGTACAGGATCTCATTAACACTATTAGAAATTTAGAATTTTTATGACAGGAACCAGTAATGAGAGATGTCCAGTGTCAGACTGAAGTACACATGATCTAAGCCAGGACTTAACCCTTAACACCAACACCTAGAGCAAAAGTAAGTCTATTGAGTGGCCTTCCCCATACACTTTTCCACTCTACTGTGAAAACAGTTCCATCTCTCTAAATAAAAGAAACACTTTCAGGCAACAGTATGGATTTGTCCATAAGTTCCAATGAGTAGTTGCTTTTTCTTGGAAATTACGCAGTTGTTTTTCCTAACAGTAACATTTATAACAGTTGGATTCCAAAGCAGAGTAAAAAAGAAAGCAGCAATTGCTTTTTGCAAAACATATTTATCCTTCCCATCCTCAGTCTGCCCTGTCTACCACGATGCTGTTCAGCCCATAACACAATGCTTTCCAACTTCTCTGGAGCAAATCCCAATTTTCCTCTCTGTGCTTCCCTTCCCCAACCCACACATTATCTGTTACTGCACTTCCAGCAGAACCTCTCAAATATATTAATCAAGCCCAACACTGTGGGCAGGAAGCCATCCCATCCTGCTGCAGCATACATGTGGCTGTATGTGCCATTCCCTGCTGTCACACAGTCTGTCAGTTTTCTAACCAGAGTGGGGATAGCGTATGTTGTCAGGCTGAGGAGAAGAAGAAATGGGAAGATGGGATCACTGGGATAGTGAGAGAGGGAATTACTGTCTGCAGAAAGGCCTAGCCAGGAACAGAACACCAGGGCTGGAGGAGGGTCTGGGTTTTGCTGTACAAGGAAGAGAGGAAGCAGGAGGGTAAAACAGTGACCAAAGTGATCCATTTTCTGTTAACATCTTCAAGGGGCAGGGGAGATTTAAGACAGAGCACAGCCCTGCTGAAAGGGCAAATAGAAGGAACTTCTGCCTAACTTCTCAAACACTCTTTTTACATCAGAGATCACCAGCTTCCAGCTGCCTATTAAACACTCTCAGACAAGACAATACTGAGCATTAAAGATGCTCTGACAAATTACATACCATGTTAGTGTAGCTTCAGCAGCATCCTTCACTCGCATGGATGCAGGGTTTGGCTCCTTATCTCCTTTGTACTTGACCTCCTGTTCACTGTTTTTGGATTTACTCCCTGAAATGCCCAGTTCCACAATTTCCAGTACTTCTTTTAAACAATCCTAAAACACAAGAACCACCTTGAAGCAGAAGCACTTGGATAAACATATCCAAAACCTCAGGGAAACAGTGATATATCATTAAGGAAAAAAAAAACACTGCTGGTAATATGAGCTCACTATTTAAAGGCAGAAGATTACTCCAACACTGTTAAAATAAGATCCTATTTGCTACAGAACTGGTATTTTTTTCTGCTTATACGTGTGTACTTCTATTATCTACTTATATTCTAATGGTAAAAAGTGCTCTGAATCAATAAAAACACACAATATACTTTATTGCACACATACCAAATTGTCAAGAGGACTATTATGAATGCAACTGAAAAACGTAAACATACTTAAAGAGATAACTGCATTTCTGGGACTCTTTAAAGAAGTTTAAAGTTCTAAGCACATTAAGAATTAACTCATCTGGAAAACAGCAAGAAATCCTTTTCCAAATTTTTCAATTGCCAACATCTTTCATTAGGAAAATACACCACAGTATTTAATTCACCAAGAAAAAAATAAGAACATTCTAAAAGTACATTGTAAAATCTATTACAGGAGAGGCCAACACTCAGTAGAACTGTAGATATGACACACCAGTGCTGTGCAGAACCCATTGAAAATATTCAGATTGCTAAAAAAAGTTCAGATCTCATGGCTTGTGCTACAGAATAACAGACTACTCCAGAATAAATAAGTGATTAAAACTGACCATGCTTGGTCAGGTTGTGCAACCAGAAACTAGACAGCATTCTATGTCTTGGCCTTTGTCCTTCCTTATATTTGTTGTTGATATAGAATAAAAGGTAAAGAGAAAAAACAAAGTTTTCTAACAGAGCCAAATTAACCAGCACTGAGCTGAAAAGACTGGCCACAAAGAATTGCAGCAAGAGTTTACAGAGCAGAAATACAACAGGTGAATTTTAAAGCAAATGTAAGAGGAAACACCTGGAAAGCTGCTTTTTTAATACTTACAAATGCAGGCAAAGGTTCTCATCTGACTATGGTGACTCAGGAATAACCTACTCAGTGTCCAGTACATAATGCACACAGTATGTAACACTATCTCCTTATAGTGGTAATTGAAATTAAAGAAGACCATAATGAAATGGAATAAAGCATTATGCAACTGACTAAACACAATCTGTACCACATCCAGGGAACCTATCCTATCAGTCACCTACTGCCATGCCAGTACTTGAAAACACATGCAGAAAGAATCTTTATTTAAACTTCCGCCTGTGGGTTTTCAGTCTTCTTTTTTTAAAATATATATATAAATACATATATCTACACATAAATAATTTATTAATTTATATAATATATAATATATATTGTTTTATTAATTTAATAGATATTTATATATACAGAATAAACAAACTATAAATATATGTAATGTTCTATCTAAAAAGATAGAAAAATATTATGTAATACATACATATGTATTATCTATAAAAACTCAGAAAGATTACTAAGTTGACTGTGAAAAAGACTAACAATGAAAATGGGCATTCAATTTTTTCATTTTTTCTTAAGCAGCAGAGAAGGCAAATGAAAACATGTCTCTCATTTCCTGCTCTTCTCAAGCTTCCCAAGTAAATTCCACCTTATATTGAACTGTGTTTTGCTCAGTTTCTAGAAAATTGGTAAAACAAACTCTGATTATCGAAATATTTGTATCAAAGGAATTCTGCTAAACCTAGAAACTGCTTTAGTCAGGTAAGACTTGAGAAATGAGGAAAGTCATGGCTATCTACAGCAGGTAGCCATGGGTTAACCCCATTAACTTCTATATTTCTCTTTTGGTTTGTTTTTTTTTTTCCAGTTTTGCAGAGCGAGAAGAAAGACTGAGACATTCCTATAACTATAAAGGTAATTTTAAAGCAAAAAACTGCATTGGTGAATAAATATCAGGGATTAAAGTTCAGAAGCATTTTGCATAGAACCCATTTTTGAAATTAAAAAAACTAAGCAAACCACACTATTTTAAAGTATCAAGAACAGATACAGGTTGGGCACAAAAACCACTTTAGATGCAGCATTCAAAATCTATCCACTGGAGACTCTGACCTTCTCATCCAGCATGTCGGGGTGCTCTGTGAGCCAGACACAGAGGCACTGGAAAGCTGCCACGATCATGGAGTGCAGGTCCCGGGAGTGCAGTGGAGCCGGGCGGCTGCACTGGTAGACGATGTAGCTGCACACAGAGCTGATCGCGCGCTTCCGATCCGAGGGATCCACCACCACCTTCACCTGCATCAACAAGGACGACAGGGTGAGGATTCCTCCACAAAAATCTTTGAGAAAAAATACAGTTTTTGAAAACATTTCTAAATGCAATTTTAAGCAACAGCAATAAACAGTTGAGCTCTTTTTTGATTACAGTTTAAAATTGCAGGTAAAATTATTTAACAGTGATAGACATGGAAACTAAAAATAAATGCTGCACTGAGGTGTGACCAAATTGCATGCCTTGATTTCACAGAGCAGGAGTGGTACCAGTGTGGCTTGGTAAGAAATCAAATGTAACCTGAACTTCAAGTATTGAAGTATTTTTTTTTTCCACAAATGTCTCTTCTTCAGCTCTAGTAACCCATTTTGTATCTCCAAGAACCCACTCACTGCCAAATCTCCCTTCCATAGGGCTTCACTCTGCTCAAGTAACTTTCCCCTAGACATACTCTCAGCGCAGGAACTTTCACCACTGGTAAAAGGAACTAAAAAGCCATCCTTGGACAAGCAGACTGACAGAAAATGCACAAGCTCTTCCCCCAAACTCACTGCAAACACCCCTCTCTTCTTCTTTCCCAGCTCAGGGCTGCAGAGAGCAAGGCTCCCAGGCAAGAAGGTCAGGAAACATCATAATAAGCCATGAGTATTTGAATTGTAAGGCTAAAGAACTGAATTTCTCTTCTCTCCTATTCACAGCTTGTTACCCAGCACAGGAACAGATGGATTTTTCTACTCTGTAGCATGTCACCATGCTTATCCAAGCAGGAAGGTGGATGGACTTGCTGGTGCCAGCATTGAAACCTGGCAGCTATACTCCACAAATGGCAGTGAAAATTCAGAGCCCCAAGATTTAGCTAGAACATTCTTCAGAAGCTCAAGATCTACAGCAAAGAGAGTCCCCTCAAGATGAGCTTATGAAAGGCAGGTTTGTGAATCAGCAGTCCTGTGGGAAACAAGATTTTAGACTTTTCTAAGTCCCACTAATAACTTGGTGCTGAACAGACACATGACAGGGCAGCCCCTACTTGAGAAAGGCTTTGGGACAAAGCCAAAGACACAAAGCAGAACAAGTCCCCACAGTATTTCTGCAGTAAGAAGTAATCTCTTTTTAACCACTTTGTTGTAAAGGGGAAAGATATTCTAGGGCAAAAATTACTTTGGTTGCATGAGAATTATATAAAGACTACAATATTTAACATTAACCTGGGGATGCATTTGAAAAGATATTTGAAAAAACTTTATTTTCACATTCCCATGACCCTGCAAGAAAAAAAAAAAAATCAAACCAAGAAGACCCTGGTTTAATGTAATGGATTGGAATTTAAGAAAAAGGGAGGAACACCCAAAGAAGTTAAGGCTTGAGACTTGGCCAATAGCTGGCCATTTCTGAGAACTGACAGAATTGTTCACCATTGAAAAGTGAGATCACTTTCTAGGCAGAAAGGGGCATTTTGCATCTCAACAACTCTTCTCCCCCAGCTAGCAGCTTTAATTGTTATTTGTGTTGAATGAAGAACTATGTGCAGATAAAGCTCTGAAGAAGGCAACACTTCATATTAGCAATACACTACATTTTGTCAAGCTCTAGAAGTTATTTCCAAGATGAGAAGGAAGGGGAAAAGTGGTACAACAGAAGTTGCAGCTAAGAGGCATTCCCAGGCCACATGTCCTTTGAGCCACAGTGCACTTACATTGGAAAAAACTACCTACAACAGCAGTGCTGCCTGTTTTTCATTTCCAAACAGAATAGTTGCTGACAAACTCAGGCACAGAAGTGGCATGACTTTCACCCAGGCAGGACTACAACCACCCTGTGAGAAGGGGCCATAGCACACCAAGTCTCACCTTTGCCAGTCCAGAGAGCAGCTCCAGGGCAGCCAGAGAGATACTCATGTCCTGCCTCCACTGGGAGTTGAGCCTTTGGGTTACCAGGTGAATGCTGCGGATCAGCAATCCAGCAGCTGTATCTGTATGAAGAGCTAGGATATAACCCCAAAACCACACACCACAGGGAGGGAAAATAACTAAGCATTAGTGACAAAAAGCAAAGCACAGGCACAAGGCAAAGCAGCCACAATACAGACATAAAATAAACCCTAAACATCTCAAAACTGGGTTGATGCCTTTTGCACAGGCTAACTCCCTCACATATTCTCCAGGCATTATACAAACCCATTCAGACTAGCTAGCTCAATTTAATTTTTTTTAAGACATTTTGAAAGATCTCAGAGCTCTGCTGCATTTCAGCAACAGAACAGCCAGCTTCAAGTTTTGCTATTGTACTCAAATTATCTGTCATGTTATGTCTTTTAGATTCTGGAAAATATAGGCATTGGAAATGTATATTAAATGTCAGTAGTTGTATTGAAGAACTAAGGAGCATACGTAATTTCAGATATCTGTGTCAGAAGTTAACCGTTCTTTCCACACCTAATGTTTATCAAAAGCTGCACTAGTTCAATAGACACAGATAATGAAAGAATCAGTGCTAGAGAAACAATTATCTTAACCTTCTGTTTCCTTGAACCTTTAACTCAAAAATAGAAAATGTTTTTAGTATCAGTTCTTCTCACTTCAAAATACTACAAAACATAAATACTATCTGTATTGGTTAAAATTGAAGTGTGCAAATTAATGTCAGAAATAAAAAACTGCTCAATGACTAGTTATAAAGAGACATGAGAACTATGACAGATAAAGCATATCCTTCCCAAAATTTAAAATATCTTATTTAACATTAAAGAACTATGTCCAATGTCACATCAGGAGCAGATTCAGGAGTTTACTATGGCTAAACTGTAACAAGAGACCATCTTGTTTTCAATTTTCTATTGTTTGAAGCATCCAGTGGAAACACAAATTCTTTGCATAAGCTCTTTACAACCTTACCTTCTCTGCACAGGAAATGTTAAAAATCCAATAAAATGAATATACTACAAAAACATATTTCAAGTTATGTCATGGTAAGAAGACTCTGTAATTCAAATATTTAGAGTATTTTTTAAATCTTACAAATGAATATTTTTACAAATATTTGTCAATTAAAATCCACATAAACACACAATTCAAATGGTGTGCAGAAAACTAGCACATCCTGTAGGGAAAGCACCAACATGTTTATATGAATCCCTAGAATATACTAAAGCCTTTCCTGATCATCTCCCTCCTCTTGCTATTTACAGAATTAGATTAAAAAAATCACCACCAAACATTTTTGGTTGGTGATGACAGAATTGTCAGTCTAGGCTACAATATAACTAACGTGATTTGTTCTCACATTTAATTGGCCAACATCAGTTAAACTGAAGACCAAAGGAGTAAATGAAATTGCAGGATCGTAACAGTCAACAGCTTACCACACACAGATTTAGAACATGGATTTTACTACAGAGAGTCAAAAAGGTACAGTACAAGACATAGCAAAGTAAAGTTAATTACTAAATTATATTGTTATAACATATGACACATCAAAAGCATTCTGCTTACTTGCCCTATAAAACCCAGGGCCCCCGAAGTGTTCTTTAAATGTTTAAGAAAATGTGCTGCAAAGGTCCGGCAAGCATTTGGAATGCTATCAAAATGAATGAAGTGATTAATTTACACTTGGTGTACATGTATCTCATTCTTGTTGACAGGAACTAAGTGTCTTGAAAACGCAAGTTAAAAGTTTGCAAACACCTTTTTCATAAGCTTTTACATTCTGATTTTGTTAAATGAAAATGTTAAAGAGTCCTTTAGTAGGGGTAAGACAACCACTTGTGAGTGCAGACTTGCAGCACACAGCTGGGCTATTCCCCTGGTTTCAAACAACTGGGCTCATTAATGCATTAGCCAAAACTAAAACAGCAAAACCCAGAAAACATCAACCTGGCAAACACGACAGGATTTTCCAAAGAGCTATCCTTACCATAATCCCTCAGGAGGGCCTGTGCTGGCCGCTCACTGTCAGGTGTCGTGGGCTCTGTGCTGCCACCACTTGCAGTGCTAATGCCACTGTTAGTGCGACTGTGGCTTTTGAAGAGGTTGCTTTCACCACCATTCTGCAAAGTGAAAGGCAGTTTAGAGAGATGAGAAAATTTCTAAGTTCCCCATGCTCTCAGATACAAAAAATCAAACCTCAAGATGCTACCTGAAACCCTTTCAGTAACAGGTAAAGTGAGGAATGCATTCTTTCTGAAGAAGTAACTTCATAAACAAAAAATACTCACTGTTTCCATCTGACAGCCAATGGCTTCTAGCAGTGCTGAATCCTGAACAATATTTAACATTGCACCTGCAGAGTCAGATGGGAGAAGGTAATTATGAACTACAGTAGAATTCACTACTAAAAATTACAAAGCAGCATAGAAGGAGTAATGTAAGAGGTTTGCAGTCCTGTTTTATAAAATCTCTTATTAAAACACAGGACTTGCTTTGAGCTTAGCCATTTGAAGAAAATGAAAGCTGAGACAGAGAATGCTTTCAGCTATGTTAAAACACTTTGAACACAGTTTAGAAAAGACTGAGAGGGGATCTCATTGTTACTTATCAATATCTCAAGGGTGGGTGTCCAGAGGACGGTGCCAGACTCTGTTTAGTGGTATCCAGCAACAGGACAAGGATGCACAAACTAAATTACAAGAAGTTCTACCTCAACACGAGGAAAATCTTCCTTCCATGGAGGGTGGCAGCACACTGAAACAGACTGCCCAGGGAGGTCATGTAATCTCCCTCTCTGAAGACATTCAAAACCCACCTAGACAGGTTCCCGCTTCTGGTGACTCGGCCTTGGTAGGGAGTTAGACTGAATGACATCCAGAGGTCTCCTCCAGCCCCAACTGTTCTGTGATAGGTCTGTCAAATTCCTCAGTTTAGAAGGATTTTGGCTTCACAGAAAGGCTGGAGTGCTTCTTTGTCTCACACCAGACTGTGCTCATTTTAAAACTCAGGTTATGTTTAAGAAAATTTATGAGAAGATGAGTTCATAATCTAAGGTGGGATACACTGAAATTCCCTCTGCCTAGAAGTTCTCCCCAGCCTCTCACTTTCCATTCTCTAATTCCCATCAGCACCCAAAATACTGTATTCAAAAAGCTGAAGCTCTTAACTGCAGGGGTCACCAACCCCATTGTATCCAAGCTAGCCAGGACAGAGCTCTCTCTTCAACCTCAGAAAAGTTTTAACTCACTTAAATCAAAACTGCTGATGTGTCTTAGCTAAACTAGAGTGAACAGCCTGTACCTGCTTGGCAGCATCACCTCCAGACGAGGAGGGAAGAATCAATAAGGACATGGACCTGAAACTGGCTGACACTGGCACATTTGGTGGCTTCAGTTTTAATTTTTCTGCCTCCTTCGCCTGCTTCATTCATCAACAAACATTTAGGAAAACACAACTTACCCTATGAAAGGAAATGAAAGGACAAGGGGGAATGTTTTCACACAGAGAGGGCAAAGTGAGGTGGGATGGTGGGAAGAAATTCTTCTTTGTGAGGGTGGGAAGGCCCTGACACAGGTTGCCCAAAGAAGCTGTGGTTGCCCCATCCCTGGAAGGGTATAAGGCCAGGCTGGACAGGGCTTGGAACAATCTGGTCTAGTGGAAGGTGTCCCTACCCAGGGAACTGGGGTGGAATAGCAGGGTGGAATGATATGAGCTTTAAGGTCTCTTCCAACCTACACTACTCTGTAATTCTATGAAATGCACCACTTGCTGCCAAGCATTTATTGGCAGATGAACAACAAACCCCACTTTTGTTGAGAAGCTGATAGCACATGTGAGAATTTCTGATGAACTTGGGATTCATGAATCCCCTGCAGCTAAAGCCAGCAGGAAATAACTTCATATATGGAAACAGGAGCTTAAGAGGAGGAATACAGGGCAAGTGAACTACCAGGGACTACAATGGGAATTATAATTCCCAGTAGAAAAGCCATTCAAGGTAGAGCACCTACCCAGCTGGCTGCAGACCAATTTGGTGTGGAGGGGCATGGGATGACAGGAGTGGGATTTAATAAAGCATCACCCTGAGGTGTCAGACACAGAACTGGAGGTGGGACAACCTCAAGTGCACAAATGCTCTGAGGGTCTCGCTTGGAAACCACAGAAATCTCCACCGCTTCACCAGCACTGGGTGCAAATTATTCTTTCATATTATTCCCACTCTAGTCTTCTGTGAGAAAATAAACTGCTTGAACTATTGCAAGGTAACCTTCCAAAAGTCTTTGCACACTTGGATTTGTTTCCCTTCCCTTAACTATGTATCATTTTCTTGCCCTCCCCCGTTAACCAGGTAAATTGCCTGCCTCCCAGAATGAGGCAGACACCACTCTCACACCACAAGACTGTTGCATTTTTAAACAGACTAAAGGAAAGTGGTAAGGGCAAGAACACCATCATGTTGAAAAAGCATTTCTAAATAGAGAAGAATAAGGGGGGACAAGTAGGAATAATAGGCATGTACCTTTGTACTTACGTGAAAACATATTTAACTTGACAGATTATGTTTTCATTAGAAGTTTTCATCTTCTACTTCCTTTCTGAGTATTCAGCATAATATTAATCCACTCACTGCTTCAAAGAACAGTTTTACAAATGCTATTCCAAAACTTTTGGATTTTGTCTGAGGATTTACACACTGCTAAACAAATGTCACCTGTATTTTGCCAATGCTGGACCACCAGTCACCAGTATGTCAATATGTTTATTAGGCTTAACTGTGCCAAAACCTATGGTTTTCTCTGGAATTCATTAGTCAGGAATCCTTCCTAAAATTTTGACATTTTTTACCTACATCCATTTCAAGTTATGATTGACTTTCTGTGCTAGAATGTGCTTTACTTTTGCCTCTACTTTTCAAGTATTACTCCACATAAAGAGAGATTAACAAAAATGTGAGGCTTTTTATGATGTTTTCATAGTATAATGGAGATTACACATATGACAACCTGCCAGGAATTTAAACCTTCTTCTTGCAAAGCAAGACATCACTAATAACCATATTATCCTATGACAGATTAAGACAGACATTTCTATAATACAATTAATAAATAAGAAAGCTGAAATAACCTAGTATCATCTGAGTGTTGTTGGGATCAGTTTCCGTTTGCAAAGCTCCTATAAGGATATTCACAAGCCTCAGCTTCAAGGACAGGAATGTTACTGGTTTATCATATGCTGAGCTGTCATCATTGCTGAATTTCCCTTCCAGGACAACCTAAAGAAAAAATACACTTATTTCAGTATCAATTAATGATCATGTCAGCAGGGTTTCAAAAGTCAACATTCACAGCACACATTGCTACTGACACCTTGTAATATGGTCTTCCTGATTCATGTTCACTGGAAGAGTTCCAGTGCTAAAGAAAACACCCAGTACAACCCACAACCCATCCAAATACCACTCCCAGGGAAAGAAAAATAGAATGCAAAACATAGTGATAAATGTACTACCTCAGACTTTATTGTTCCAAAATGATGAGGGAGAGGCAACAGAGATAGCAAGATGTTAATGGAAGCTCTTCTTAGCTCTGTGGGGTTTACATAGATTTTAAACTTTGAGAGTTCTCTGCAAATCAAAGCATCAGACAGTTAATCAATTTTTCACAAGAATCTGGAGCCGAATGGAACTAAGTTAATATTAAATATACATCCACCCAATGGCCTTAAGTAATCTGGAGTATGCAATGTAGCTGTTTCTGTCTAGGACCTATCCAAAAGAAGGAGCAGCTCAGATTTAAGCCCAGGAGATAAATAACGCTTTTTGTTTAAATGCCTAACATCAAAATGAAACACCATACCAAGATATAACACATACATTAAAGAAGGCATGCAGAAGACTACTATTAAGTGCCTAACTTAGCAAAACATAGGTGTCTATAAAGCTCTGATCAGAACCTACTCCAATTTCATCAGTCTAAATTATCAACTTTTCCATTTAATGATGCGTAGGATTACTTATTGAATACACTGCAACAACAGCCACTAATGAGTATCTTGTGAAAATTTACTTTAAAATCAATAGGCTTTCAATATGTTTTTTACATATTTCAATATATTTTCCTATTCTTAAAGGCACTGCTTTGCATCAATGAGTAGGGAGCAAACAACTCACATATTTAATTTAAAATAAGCACTATTATTACTTTAAAGAAAATTGCATTAAATAAAACTGAAAATTTGAGCTTACACAGTGTTGCTATTATCACCATCAAATACACAAACACTGTGGGCCCCACATTGCAGAATTCCTTTGGTGAAATTACACAGGAATGACAAAAAAACAAACACCTCCCAACATCTCTGATGATGTCTATATGGAAATGGTAATTTACCTGTCAGGTAAAATAGTTTCCAGAGCCGAAATGAAGTAGGGAACCACAACATCAATGCCTTTCAGGTCACAGCAGAACAGAGGAGGGGAGTTTAGAATAACACTGGCAAGAACAGGGTGGCAAACGAAATCTGCTATCTGCAAACCCTGAATTAAAAGCATGTAAAATCTGACAAAGAAAGATAAGATTTAATTATTTGCACATAAAATCATCAGAATCCCACATGATTCTGCAGCCACTATTTGACCTTGTCTATATAAAATAGAGTAAGTTTCAAAAACAGAGATAGGAAACATTGATATAAGTGTTCCCCTGCATTACTTGAGCACAGGCAAGCACAGCTGACCAGCTTAATAAACTCTCACAAATGACAGGTATTGCATTATGAAAAGCCACTGTAGCACAGTTTTACTGAAATCTTTGACTTGTTGCAACACCCAGACTGAGAGCTGAGTAAGCACAACTAGCTGGTTACTAACAATTGATTGCCTGCTCTCCACTACTCTCCAAGTAAGGGTGGGAGCAAGACCTTTATTTTAACTCCCCAATACGAGAAAAAGACTGTGAAATCTTGGGGGAGGCAGTGGATAGGACAAGGAACAGGATATCAGGACAAGACACACTGATCAGCAATTTGGAAAACGAGACCAATCATAACTACCATAACCACTTCAAATGAAAAAGCCAGGGCAGAAACCCAGCTGTCCATCACCCTAGAGCAGTTAGCTTCTTTTGCAGCCTCTTGTTAGAGAACATGTAGGCCCTCTTAATTGTTTCAAAAGTCTAGGAGACATAAAGGAGTCCCACTGACTGGCCAAAAGAAATATGAACTATCTATACAAAAAATACTACAACATTCAACAAATAAAATTGTTCAGTCTTCTGGGAAGTTTTAATGCCATCTGGGACATATGTACCTGAACAGTTTGAGAATCATTGATTTAAAACTGATTCTCTGCCTCTAGCATTTGCTATTTTACATAACAAAAATTTGTGAAAAAGGTATACTACAACAGGCAAAACTGCTTTATTTTCTCAGAAATAAAACTGAACACAGAGGTAGCTCAAACACAACTGTTTCAAATAATGGGATACTACTATACTTCAATATTCAGAGGGTGAAAAAAACCTACAAAAAACGAAATCAAATTTTATGGTATTTGACAGCACAAGAACCTTTGTAGTCTAATAAAGTGTACAAAGTCTTATGCCTGCACGCTCATTTTTTCCATGTGAATGTGATTAATTTCAGTGACAAATTAAACAAAAATAAAAATGTAGGAGGCAAGAAACTGCCAAAGAAAATTTTCCTTCCAGCTGGAGGCACTTTAAGGTACTCTCCTTCAACTGAAACTTGAAGAAAACACAGTGAAAAGCTGCATCATGAAAATGTGAGAGGAAGACAGTGCTGGGCTTAGCCAAGAATCCCACCTCCAGCCTCTGAAGGCCAGCTACGTGTTTTTAAACTGGTAACACAGGATTCACACAGCAAGTGAATGATATTCACTGGGAATTTGTCTGTATCTTAAAGTTACACCAATAAAGCAACTGGAATATAGGTTAGTACCGGGATAGGTAAGCTGGTAATATTTCCTCCCCAGTCTTCTTGCTACAAAATATCCTACACAGTGTCCCGCATGCCTCTGCCCTTCCTGCTTCATAGTTGTCTGGGAATTCACTTGCATCAAACATGGGGTTGGAAGCCATAGTGTCTGTGGACATTTGGGATCCTTTCCGGCGGAACTCCACACTAGCCTGCGTCGCTATAGCTGGGAAGAGAAAAAACAGCATTTCACTGTGCGTGATAATGTACAGAATAGGCTCATGGGATCCTGGACACAAAGATCAAGTCCAATTTAATAGTTAACATGAAGCTATTAGTTCACTGTATTTGAGCCAGTGCCTCTGTTTAGGAAGTATTTGTGGGTGTACCTAACTTGTTTTCTTCATAAGGATGACAACAACTGACCTTCATATCCTGGAGGCTGTCCCAACTTTTTGCTGGGAAGAGAGCACTTATATCCAATACTAGCTTCCTACCCTCTCTGAAAGGGCAAGGATCTGCCTCACCTGGCTCTTGTCCCCACAAAAATGAAATGCCACTTTCCCTTGCTCCCTTAAAAAACAAACAAAAAAATTTGATGGTGCTATTACTATTGACCTTCAAGGAAGTGCTTAACTTCCAGCCAGCCAACTCATCTCATCTCATGCTGCCCTGAACACCAAGCAGCTTCGATCCAGTTTTGTTGTACATAGTTATTAAAAAAACAATCAAAACATTTTAAGGTCCCATATGAGAAAGGGAAGATTGTGGAATCTCATTCTCCTAATTTGGTCCCTCTCTCCTCATGTGATCATTAAAACTGCCAAATAAGAGAGCCTCCCAACAGCAGCTACCATGGCCTGGCTGTCTCCTGCTCCCTATCCTACAGGAAGCTCCATGACCCTCTCAGAGGGTCCTAACCTGGTTCTGCCCAGCTGTGTGCCCCCTCCCCACAGGCCAGTTCTGCCAGTCCACACCACTCCAATCCAATTCAAGTCTTCCTGGAGAGATTTCTGGTCTCTCTTTCACACGTCAGCATTGTTTGGATACAAGACCACTCGCTCTGTTGACTCCATGCTTTCTTCCAGGATTGCTACCAAAACAAAATATATACTGTACTCAATGTGAATTTTTTTTCAAATTTTTTTCCTCTTCCTTGGACAGCTTTGCTCTAGGATTACTAACATCTTAAAGAGTGTGTTCTTGTTTTTAGCTAAGATTAGATGGATTTCCAAAACTTTTATAAACTACAAAAGCAAACAGCAGACAATGTGTGCTCCCATAATCACACCTATGAGTTGCTACCAGCAAAAGAAAGCAACTTCTGTCTCAGCTCTGGGACACTGGGGAACTGCAGGTTCACAGTCAGCCTTGCTAACAAAGGCATGTTAACCTTTAGCAGCTGGAATACCTGATAATTTACAGATAGGATGCTTTTTTGTTTTGTTTTAAAGGAAATGTCTTAATGACAAGTGCCTACTCCTAATTTTTTGTTCTCAAATTTATCATTTAACCAACATTTACCTCATAAATTTTCATTGATGTTAAGTAGCAAATAAGTACAAATCTTTATGCATCTTCCCATGAGCCATTTTTTGTCCTAAATAAGCTATCCAGCAATATACTGTAGTTGGAAAAAAACACTACATGCACAATGCATACAAATCAAACACTAGGTCTGTAAAATAAGCTTTAAGTAAAAAAAACATGGTTAGTGCAAAGTCCTGAAATTCATGACATGATCACAGAATAAAATACAGAAAAGATGGGACTGATTCAGGCAGATTAATTTGCTTTTGCCAACAATCCTCCCCATTCAAAAACACACACAAAAAAAATTACTTGTCTTTTTCAAGTAAAAGTGCAAAAGCTACAAGAGACAATGAGAATGAATTTACAAATAAAACATGGGATTATGGGAAAAAAAAGCATGACCGCAATTAAGGAAAAGCTACTGGTTCCTACTTACAAGATTTATAAGAAAGAAGAATTTGGATAAAAGATGCTGCAAGATAATAGAAATAAAATGGAAACAAATCAAAGGACAGCAGTAGTTATAAAATACTTTTAAGATGGTGAAATTGTAATATAAGTTAAGAAGCTTTTAGCTTTTTAAAAAATAGATTAAAAGCTTTATGATACAGCAAGCTCGTTAAACACATAGGAAACTGGCATACAGGTCCAAAATTATGGTTTTGAAAGTACCATGCAAAACAATGAACAAAAAGTTACAAAATACGACTAAAATTTAGAGCTGTTCATATCAACATACACCAGTTCTTTAACAGAATGTACTAACCATTCTCAGCTCACAGACCTATCCCCATGTCACAGTGCACATGGAGCATACATCAGGTTATCCTAAGGCCCCTCTGAACTGGGGTATTGCAGGGGGAAAGTTACTTACCAGCAATCTCCTCACAGCAGTACTCCTGCTTCCAAACCAGGAGCTCCCAACAGGATTACAGCTCCCATTTCTCTAAGCCAAGTTGCTAACAACCAGAATATCTGAGCATGCCTCCCCTGACCACCAGCTTCACTAACAATCTTCCAAAGCAGAAACAAAAGGTAGAACACTCCCAGAAACATTAACACCTCAAACAACATCCAGAGAAAGAAGAGAGTAAGAACTCCAGCAGCCAGGAACTACCCATCAGCTGGGGAGAGCTACTTCTTTGAACAGGCAGGGTCAAACCTGTTAAAAAGCCCCTCAGCAGCACTCACTACAACCCCAGAGAGGGCTGCTTAGAATTAGCTTCTAGAGCCCCAGAAACATTTTATGGGACGTTAATGACAGTAGGGACAGAAAAGGTGAGGATAATGATATACTTCAAGGCTCCTCCACTGCCAACAGCCCCTGGGCAATACCAACAAACCCCTGAACTGTCTCCTTCAGCTGCTATAAACTGCAGAGCCAGCACCCTTTAGGTACAAGGATTGAGAATAAGCCCATCAGATTGAAAGATTCAGTTGCTGAAATGGTGGCACAAGGTGCTGGTGAGCTTCTCCAAATTCTCAGAGGCTGAGGACAGTAGGTAGCAGTAGCATGCACTGTATGGCCAAGCCTGTCTGAAACACATCCTGCCACTGAATCTGCCCTAGCACAGATACACACACCCCAAGCTGTCATTCTTTGGTTAACCTCATGCAGGCTCTGTAGCCAATTTCCTATGAAGGTGTTATCTGTCATAGGGATCTATTTATCCCACACTATCAGCTACATAAATGCCACATACCCATCTAACAACTATGCCAGCAGGATCCAGCTGCTTTCAAACCATCTGTGCATCTTCCAACAGGCCATTTTTACTTTCTCACCACAGTACAGTGATGTTTATCAGCTGTCCGCCATAAAGCTTCACCATTAAAGTCTGTGTGCAGAAACTAAAACCTGATAAGGACACTCAAGGCCCAAGAGCATCATGCCAATGATGGCAAGATCATTGCTCTTTTTCAGAATCCAAACAATGACACAAGATTACCTTGAAGGACAGAGCTCAAAGAGCAAAGAGGACAACTGCTCTACCAGCAGCCAAGTGTATACAGACAACTTCCAGCTAATCTTGAGAGAGAACAATTCTCTCTTCCCAAAGACAGACAAAACCAGAACAACCACAAACGTGGAATACCTACAGTTTTCCAATTAAGAGTTGGTACAAGACATTCACCCATGAGATGAAAGAAAATTGAAAATCCATGAGGCAGCAGTTAACCTGACAGAATCAGGAAAGCTGAGGCTGAAGTGACCTCTGGAGATAGACAGCCCTCCCCTGCAAGGCAGGGTCATGTAGACTGAAGTTCAGTTACCCTTCTATCCATTTAGACGGTCTTTAACCTCAAGACTTACAAAAAACTTGACATTTTTTCCACCCGTCATTTTCCATTACTTCATTTCTGGAGAGTTCCAGAGGTAAAACATGAGATCCCAGGACAAGGAAAAAAGGAAAGGTAGAGGGGTTCTCATTCACATCAGCCTTGACCATGTGCTCTTTATTTCCTAGAGCTCATCGAAAAGGTGCATTGTAAGATAGGACAAGGACAATGTGTTTGGCCGTGTGTGTCAGCAGAAGTTGTTTAAAAGGACCAAACTAAATTCTGAACTAGAATTGAGACCACAGCTCATCCACAGGGCCCCTGGTAGGCACTGCACTGAGCTCATTTATCTCTCTTTGGTAATCACATTGTAAGGATTCTCACTGAGACTGTGCCACATGACAGAAGAGGAGAGAGAAACCTGCAAGGGCAGCAAACACTTGACGAAATTCCCGCAAGTTAATTCTATCTTCCAAATCGCTAAAAAAGCAGGACATGACACAGCCAGGTTCCTGGGAGTCCACCAACATCATTGTCTCAGAACCACTGCTGCTAATACACAGCAGATCACGCGTTGTGCTAAGACTGGTCTTGCAACAGACAGCTTGGAAGAGGAGTACAGAAGAGGAACGGAATTAACTCAATTCCAAACAGCTGCCTCTAGTTTTCAGAAAGCCAGTAAATATTCCTGTAAGGCTAGTAACACAACAATTTTCTGATTGCTGTTAGGTGATTTAAGACATTGCAAATATGAACAGGAGGCCCTGGAATACCTTCAAGGAAGTTAAACCTTTTGATTTTGGATGACTGTGTACTTCTGCCCTCTTAACAACACAGAATGTTTACAGCTTACACTTTTGCGTAAGCACCATCTCAGCTGACATCCTTCCTTTGCAGGTTAAGCATTTCATTGAAATCACTCAAGAAACAGGTTATGTCAAAATTAAAATGATCTAATCAATCTGAAAAGCACTAAATATATAGTAATACATTAAATGCATATGCAACCGAATACACAAGGCAAGGATGCCTTGCTCCTTCCTAAACTCAGCTCTTTCCCTAGTCATGAGTCATAGGCCTTTTACAAAGAGATTCCGAACTCCTACCACAGAACCTCACAAAGAACACTTCCAAAAATAATGTGATACATACCTAAAAAAACTTTAGAAGATCCCAGATCCTAAGCTTTCACACAGGAACAATAAACAAGGAAATTTAACTCCTGCTGTCAAATCCCACTACACATCCAACTTGTACAACAAATGTCTTTCCCCTACTTTTCTTAGGACAGTGAGTTACTGACTGATTGATAGATCTCTTGGAAAAGTTAACAGACATTCAAAATACACAAGGAACAGTAAATGCAAGGAGTGAGAAAAATTAGTCTTTTCTGAATATCATCAACAAAAGTAAGAAGAGAGCTAAAAAGCTTCTCTGAGCAGAGCACTAATTCTGCTATATCTCAAAACATCTAACCTCTGCAGCTGAGCAAAGCACAGGAGACAAAAATAAGTTTGGCAGTTAAGGGCTGAAGAATGAAGATATCAAGTCATTAAGGGAAACACACAGCAACCATAACTGATAGGCAGCAACTTCACTACCTATTTTAAGGACTTTTTAAGAGTGTTTTCATAACACTCTAGAAAACAAGTATCATTTTGTGCACTATGTGGAACAAGGTAGGATGATTTTTCAAATATTAAAGAGTTGATATAAATAGTTGCTATTAATTATAGAACTGAGGCAGATTTCAAACTAAGAAATGGACTCCTACCATATGATTTCCTCCACATAACAGCATTTTCCCCAGTATCATAATTGGAAGTGCCATGCTTGTTAGAGCAAGAGAGTCTTAAATAGTAAAAAGTGGGCTTCTATTAAACTTTGAAATCCCCAAACACCTGCTCAGGTAATAGCAGATGCCGGCTCAGATCAAGGAATTAACTACCACAGAGCACTTCAGATTTTACTTTTTTTGGATTATGCATGTGTTAATCTTACAGGTAGGAAATGTCAATAAAACAAGGAAAAAGGTGTACATATATATATTTATTTTTTTTTTGGTAATATTTACCAGTCATGCTGCTGTCTCTGTTTATTCCATTATGAAGTTTACAGTGAACAAATGCTGCATCAAATAACCATGATCCAAAGAGGTTCAAGATGCTGTTAACCTTTGGCCTGCGAGGAGCTGGAAGTGGCCGAGGCTCAGAGCTTGTCTGGTTTGGGCTAGAGAGTGGAGAAGGAGAGGAAGGTTGGTGCTGCACTTTTGAAGCATGTGCAGTAGTTACCTGTTTGAACAAAAGAACAGATCAGCTCCTAGAATCAAGGAAATTACTTCCTCTAACTGAGGAAATTATCCAAACAGTCAGCTACTCAAATACAGAGAATGAAATCTTACAGTACTGGTTTTCATTGTCACTTTGTTCACAGTCACTGCCCGATGCCTCCGGTTGTGAGGTGGAGTGGTGTTGGTAGCAGTGTTCTGGGGCATGCTCAGCCTGTTCACTGGCGTGGGTGGTGCACTGTCTGACCGGGGTCGGGAAATGCCTGTAAGGCCAGGAATAAAGCAGGCTTTCAGCAACAATTCCATGGGCTCACATAGAGTAGGCCATTAGTAAGCATAAGAGCCTTTGGTCAACATCCATGCCTCCCCCTGTCCCCCAAAACAGCAGCAGCAACAAAAACACCTCTCCCCATTTTACTATTAGAAAAAATAAATGCATAAGCAAATGAAAACAGTAATTACATCAGATAAGCAATTGATTTAAAAAAACCAAAGGACCTCACACCTTAAGGCTGTGGGAAATGGCAGATAGGAGGAATCAGTCTAGAAGCAGGCAGAGGGAAAGGCGCAAGGTTCACTTGCCAAAGACAATTTCACAGCTCACTTCTGCCAAAATTCAGATGCCTCTCACCTTTGCCTTTCTTTCCCAATCATAACTCCCACACCTTTTTCTGAGACTTCTCTAAGATGTCTGGCCCTTAAAGCCACCTTAGCTCACTAAATTAAGATGAAACCCATCCACCACACAGCTTTCTGCTTAGTTTAAGCTGAATCAGCTGCTGAACAGTCAAATACTAAGGCAGTACACAAGATAGAGTAAGAAAGCAAAGCAAGCTATTTTTCTGGCAGCAGCAGGACATTAGACCAGTTTTTATCCAGCTTCAGGGAAATTAATGGTGCACAGAGCTCTCCCCCATCAGAATCAGAAGCAACTCAACATCTGCAAAACCTGAAGTGACAAACATCACTTTTGCCCATTTTAATGAATTCTAACACCCTCGTGCCCTATTTGAAAAATGAAGTGGAGAACTGCAGTGTGCTTGAGAATTTGACACAGATTTTTTTTTTTTACCCTGTTAATTAAAGCACCCAAGTACTTTTCATAACACATTACAGAACAATTTGCTCCTGCTAAATCATCAGTGTTACACCCCAGGCAGTGTATGCATTATGAAACCTATTGTTTTAGTACATTTGGCTGGGAAAGACAATGCACTATTTTGCCAAACACATCACATAGGTACTGGGGAGAGCAAGATAAAACCCAATGTTTTAGCACTTGTGACAGAAGGTAATGAGCTCTCCCATCAGCCTTCACTGAAGAGCTTTCTGCAGCTCTCAAGTCTGCCTGAGCACACTCTTCCAATCCATACATACAGCCTGAATTTAATTTCACTAAGAAATCTCCTGTGCCCCAATGCCTTGTCTCTGCACTCCAGGTGAGCTATTATCCTTCTGGGTGTTTTATCTTGCTGCAAGATCTTCAGAAGTCTTAAGTATCTGATTCATAAAACCACAGAATAGTTTGGGTTCAAAGGGACCTTAAAGACTCCCCATTCCATCCCCAGCCATGGACAGGGACACCTTCCACTAGACCACATTCTTCCAAGTCCAGTCCAACCTGACCTTGGACACTTCCAGGGATCCAGGGGTAGTCACAGCTTCTCTGGGTAACATGTACCAGAGCCTCACCAACCCTCACAGGGAAGAATTTCTTCCCAATATCCAGTCTAACCCTGTCCTCTGTGTCCCTAGAACCTGCTCTTCTCCAGACTGATGGTCTCGTTCCACTGGCAGGTTTTTTCCTAATATTTTGTATGCATCTACTTGATTCTTGTGCAGTCTTACATCAGCTCATGCTTATGGCAGATACCATCTGTTTGCACATATTTAAGCAGAGAAGCAGCTGGAGACAAGCAGCTCTTCCAAGTTTACAATTGCAGGTATTCTTGAAGAATTTTCAGCAAGTCTGAAGCATACTAAATATAATGCTTTAAATTTCAGGTACTCCATCCTGTTACTTCAAACCGACCAGGCAGAGCTACTAGGCTACCATCAGACACAAAGAAACACGACTTTTTTACTCAGCAGTAGTAGTCACCCACTAATCATAAACTAAGGGGAACTCTCACAAAGATCTGAAAGTGACAGTCTAAATTCAACACCTTATAAAACAGGCACACAGCAGCTGCCACAAAGATTAGAAACACTGTGGTGAGTGTCTAGAACATGCTAAAGCATAGCACTTGCATTGGTGATTAGATGGAAAGGGAAAAGAAGCCTTGTTTGGGAAAGAGATCCCTGGTTCTTATTTTATATTTCTGATCTATTTATTTGTTCTGCATTTGAAACTAAGGCCATCTACAACATCATGCATTCAAATGTTTCTATTGTGTGTACAGATTTTTTTAGAAGTGATCTGAAGTCTCCTCATCAATTCCCAGATATACTTGCAAATGATAAATTGTTACTGCTGTATTTATAGAGAAAGCAGATTAAAAGAGAATAAAATAATGATTAAGTTAATATTTATAGCTATCCATGGGTAAGAGAAAAGCATTACCTAGGAATGCATCCACTAAACAGCTGATTCCACGCATGGCACGAAAGAATATTTGAGGAAGATGTTTAAGGCAGGGGTACTGATTCAGTTCTTGAGTCATCCCACTCACATTCAGAAACTGCTCCTGAAATTTGGGGGTAGAGCTAATAATGGCTGGGTTACTCAAATCCACAGGATTACTGCACACAAAAAGAGCAAAATATATGTTAGTCAGTTTAATAACAGCTGTTAAGATTTTAAAAACACTTGAAGATGCAATAGTTTAAGGCATTTAAGTAACACCACAAACCAGCATCCAATATCAATACATTTTAGCTGTTACTCCCTCACCGGAAGGCAATTTTCACCTCCTGGGTTAGCAGTATATGACTGTCTTCATTTCAAACATTAGCCAAACACTGAAAAATTTTAGTAAAATAAAACAAACCAGAGCACACATTTGCTAGACTAGTTATGGCAGTTATATTAATTACTTATGAGGTCTTTTGAACCCAGTTAAGAGTTTCTTATATTGTTAAAGTTGTTCTAGAAAGGTAAGCAACAAATGAAATATTGTCAACCAGTGACAAGAAGGGAAGTAGATTATAAAAGTTTGGGCAATTTTTCCTGACTGACTCAAATCCTGAAACAGCAAATTTGTAAATTCCAAATTTGAAGAACACAGTAGCTGTGACATTAGTACTACAAATGAAGAAAGAGGGATTTTTAGTTAGTTAAGAAGTAAATCTTAAACAGTCTAATATTTATTTAGCTTTAACTGTTAAATAGTGTTTTGTATCAATTGTTTAATAGTCTGGCCATTGAGAGCATTACTGTAATGCCAAGTCCAAAAGTCTTTAAAAAAAAAAACATAGCATTTGCTTCAACTGTGCATTTAAAAAAGATTAATATGTGTGGTAAAATGAGCTGTATGAATGTTTTCATAAATATAAACACACATTTTAAAAATAAATAAAATTCTCCATTAACCTGGAGAATAAATGCAAGTCATGTGCATCTCCCAGAACTATTTTCAGCTTTTCCTGTTTGTTATCTCAGAGAAACAAAATTCTATAGAACTCTTGTTTTTCAGATCCTCCAATATGCCAAATAGCTAAAATAGTTTTTAATTAACTGAACTTGCTTACATTTTGAAAAAGTCAGAGTTCAAAGTTGAACCACTCATGGCATTCCCTGAGCTACTGAATGGCACTGGCGCAAGACTCTCATTTTATTCTATTTAGGTGCTTAATCTTCTCAATCTCCAGAGAAATGTTTCATTTGTCATGCAAAGGCATAGAGCTGATGTAAGAACAGGAACAATGGATGGCTGTAATTACAATACCTCAGCATATGTAAAAAGCGAAACCATGTTTGTGCAACACACTCATTATCCATTTCAAGAGGAATCAGACCAGCATCTTCATCGGGAATTTTGAATGGAGGAAATGAAGGTCCATATGTAAAACGCAGCAACCTAGAAAGCAAGTCAGACAGACCTGTTCTTCAGCTCATACTCCAAAATTTAACAGTGCATTTTGAGCTCCAAAGGTATCAGCAGCCCACAGGTGAGTCCACAGGCAATAATGCAACATCCCAAGTTCTCCTAGAGATCCCCATTTTATACAATCACTCAGCCTTCTTAGTCTTGGATGGTGCACACCTGGAGCCTGCCTGAAGCTCCACCAAATCCAAGAGCTGTTAAGGCACAAGACCCCTCAGCAGCTCTCCCATCACTTAGCCAGAGGGCTTACCAGTCATCACGGCCACATGCACATCTGATAAGATGTTACAGGTCAAGGAAGGATTTTTTTTTTTTTTTAAAAAAAAAAGAAGGAATTCAAGCCCTTATCCTCACAGCTTTTTAGCTTAAGCTTTCAATGAGACTAGCAAGTCATGAGGGGTTGCAGCTCGAAATTCCAGCTTGTCACTGATGACCTACACTGTACTCCAGCACCCTGAGTAGCACTCACTGTTGACCTACAAGCAGCACAGGACTTGCAACCCACAGTTTAGTGAGTTCTTCAAAACAGATGCACCACATCTGTCAGAGGCTGGGATCTACAGACCAGCAAAGAGTAATACAGTGATCCAGTGCCATGAGGACAATGTTTGGATAAATGGAGATCTTTCTCTAGAAGAGCCGTAACTACCTGAAGAGTCACCAGTGATCTTCACTGAGACCCTGCTGTCTAATCTGACCCTCGCATCATACCCATCTTCAGCAAATTACAGTTCAATTTCCATGACTATCATAATCTTTCTAAAGGAATGGAAGAGAGCTGCATTCCATCTTCTCTATATCTCAGCATTCCCAGAAATCAATTTGTCTTTCCCTAAGACAATTTCCTTGTAATGGTCAGGAAATGTCCCACTCATCCTTACTTACTTATAAAGCCATATAGCTTTTTAAAGTCATTACAACTAGGAGAAGAGGGGGAGAGAAGTAGCCTATGGTTGACTCCTAAACCAAGAGTCAAACAGGCTGAACTTCCATCTTCCACTTCTCCCAGCAGCGGTCACTAGAGTAACCTGCAGCAAATTAACACAATTGTCTGAAATCACAGCCTATTTACCTGGACAGAAAAGCAAAAGAGCTTTAGGACATGAGGCCTTCTCCAGATGCAAGGAAGATGAGGAATCCATTCAGTGCAGCAGCTGATTGAGCTCCCTGAAGGGAGGCTGGGGAAGAGGCTGGGAAATGCCAAACCTGTGCATAACAAAGGGCACTGGACCTGTGGCCTAGCCAGGTGCTCAGACACTGCAAGAGCTGAGGGCTAGGGAGGAAGAGCCAAGACTTGCATGAGCTTGGACTGTGAGGGGATAAAAGCCCAGGAGTCCTTTGTTGGGGCTGCTCCTTGGAAGCACCAGCTCAAACTTTTTCTGTGTTACTGTGCCAGGAACAAAGGGCTTTGTGGAACAAGACATGTGAGACTCCCATGGAAAACCAGGGGTCGAACTGGTGAGGAAAGCTGGTCTGCCTGTGAGAGTGGGAAGTGCAGAGAGTCATGCAGGGCACTCCTTTATGGATGCTAGCTTTGGAACAGGCTGCAGAGAGCTGCAGAAACTGCAGGCCCATGGCCTCTCAGTCCTGCCTGAGAAGCTAGCCTGAGAACTTCATAGGAGGATTTCAAAACAATCCTCAGAGACAGAAAACATCTGCCAGGTGCTGTTTGTCTGTCCTCTTGTTTTCCTTGCAGGAGAGAGTCAGGGGGGTAGTGTGCCCCACTGACCAATGATGGTGATGTAGCACTTTGCTAACCAATAAGAGTTTCTTTTCTGTACTTTTCCACGTATCTGTCTATAAGACAAGCCTAGAATAATAAACTAGAGAGATTCTCCTGTTGTGACTCCCTTGAGAGTCTGTGTCGTTCTTTATCGCCATTCCCAATCAGAACGACACTCCTTGGCTCACTGGAGCTGCTGCTGCAAAGGGTCTTCAGTCCCAGCAGTTAAAAGTTGCTGGTGGTGGAAGCGTGACTGCAAGAGTCTTGGGAATGGTCAGACTGGGAAGTTTCCTTAACACCAGAAATACATCTGTACAAGGTAGCACCAGGTATCAGGCATTCTCCAGCTCTGTGTCCACCTATATTTAGTGCCCAGAGGCATGACCCCATGGTCTGTTTTTGCTGAGGAATTACCTGGCTCTTAAAGACCCTAAAAAGCCTGGTCCAACCCCATGCACTGTCATGCCCCACACCACTGCCTGGCAACACAGTGCGCTGCTTCAGTTCTCCCTATGACTGCAAGAAACCAGTTTTTCAAAGAGCATGACCAAATCTTCAGTGACATATGGGACATTTTCAAGAATGACTGAAGACAGAAATAAATTTTAAGCCACACATCCAAGACAGTTAAAATATACTTTAAGCAATCTAGATGGGGTAAAAGTACTATCTATTGGTATGGTAACACAATCAAGCCTCCAGTTTCATCCTGCTAAAAATCACAGCCAAGGACACAGATTAACACTGTATATGTGTACAAATTTCCAAATATAATTTTCCGTATGGTTTAAATTTTAAACGGTTCCTTTCAGCTTATTGCCAATAGCCTGATTCACAGAACTGTTTACTAAAACGTTTTAACTGTTTGAAGCTGGAGCTTCATTGAAGTATTAAAAATGTAGTTTAAAATAACACTGAATTTAAAGCTAACCTCACAGAAGCCTAATTTTCCATGTATCAGGCATAAACCAACATTACTGAACACAGACTAAAACATTCCAGAAACCCTGCAGACTCCTGTGCACCAACAGAACCAAGACTGTTAGTCAACAGTGGGAAAGAAAGTGTAGGCACAGTGTGTGGTGCAGAACACCAACACATGTTTTGAGACAGAGCTGCTCTTTTCAGATCAGTGAATCATAAAGTATTTTCCCTTATGTAACACTACATCTAACAAGCTAAAAATAGCTAAAGAAATAGCGTGGGAAATACACAGAACTCATATTGCAGCTTTATTTCCCAGGGGTTTAACAAATAATAAGAAAACATAACCTGGAAAAATCTATCCACACTTCACATTTTGACAGGTAATTCAAAGCAAAAGTTTTCAGTTATAATAAACCCTTGCAGAAAAATATACTATCGAATATTTCACAATGCAGCAATTTTAACACATCTTTGAACTTTCACAGAAATAAGTTAATGATATTTCAGGAGAGCTGGAAGGAGACCCAGATGACCCTCTTACAAGCAATTAATGAAGTTTTTTCCTCAAAGAGTCTGAGATTTGTCCCACAAAGACTTCATACCAAAAGGACCTCAATATTAAGGATACTGAAAATCTCTTTACTGTTCAGAGCCTTCTACTAAAGCCAAAATTCTCCTGCAATGCCCAGATGTGAGTGTTCCTTCAGTCAGTTTGCAGGTGACACCAAGGTGGGCAGGAGCTGACCTGCTGAAGAACAAGAAGGATCTCTAGAGGGATTTGGTCAGGCTGGATCACAAGGCTGAAGCCACTCCATGAGGTTCAACAAAGCAAAGTGATGGGTCCTGCCCTTGGGTCACAACAATGCCAGAGCTACAGGTTTAGGGCAGAGTGGCTGAAAAGTGCCCAGTAGGAAAGGTCCTGGGAATGCTGATCAACAGCAGCTAAACAAGAGCCAGGTGGGCAAGAGGCCAATGACACCTGGCCTGTACCAGCTGTGCTGTGGCAGCAGGACCAGGGCAGTGACTGTGCCCCTGTGCTGGGCACTGCTGAGGCACCTCCAGCCCTGGGGGCAGTTCTGGGCCCCACACGGCAAGAAAGGCATTGAGGGGCTGCAGCATATCCAGAGAAGAGAACAGGGCTGGGGAAGGGGCTGGAGCACAAGGAGCAGCTGTGAGAGCTGGGAGAGCTCAATCTGGAGAAAAGAAGACTCAGAGGGGACCTTCTCATTCTCTACAACTACACCAAAGGAGGTTGGAGCCACCAGAGGCTTGGCCTCTTCTCCCAGGTAACAAGGGACAGAAGATGGGGAAATGTCCTCAAGTTGTGCTAGGAGACGTTTAAATTGGATGGAAAAGACTGTCAGGCACTGGCACAGGTTACCCAGGGCAGTGGTGAAATCACCAAAGGGTATTAAAAGACCTGTGGATGTGGCACTTGGGAACATGGGTTGGGTGGGCTTAGCAGTGCTGGGGGCATGGTTGGATTTGACGATCTTAGAGATCTTTTCCAGCCTAAACAGTCCTGTCATATATGATCCTCACTGTTCCCATACCCAGCAAGACTCAGTATAGCTCTTATCCCCTGCTCTCTAGAGCAGAGAGCCTGTGGTCTGCCTCTGGCCCATCACATCCTGACTGCCAGGGCACAAGTGCCAGGCATCTGTAACACAGTTTCAGCTCAACAGGGTCCAAGCAGAGTCCAAGAGTCACCTCAAACCCAGCAGCATGAGAACTAACAAGCACCTAATAATTTTGATGGTCACGCACACGCACTTAATGCTGCACTAGTATTCTTGAGTCATTCCTCAGGGCATATGATGAAGAGTCACAATGATGGAGACTAATACACACACGTGCGTCACAAAGTGCTAAATATCACAAAGGTGCTAAACATACACAAGAACAGAAAGAATCAAACTCAGATCTTCCCTTGCAGAATAAAGGAATACACACACAATCCAAGGATACAGCAAGATCTCTCACTTTGTATTGCTTATTCACTTTTAGATTGCTGCGCATTCCACAAATAAGCAACTCCGAAACATGTATAACCACTATTAACCCCATAAATACGTTTATTTCCATGGTATTTCTCCTACCTGGAAGTAAGGGCACAAATGACCTTGCTCCACTGTTCAACTACTGCAGGATGATGTCGCCAGTTAGCCACCATCTCTTTGGCAGTTTTCCAGTAAGGAGGTGTTGGAAAGCACCGCGTACAAGCGAGTAACCATACCTCAAACAGCACACCAATTAATTTCTCAGCCAGATTCTCAGCAATGCCACCTTACAACAGAAACCAAGCATACCTTCAGTTAGTGTTCCGTCTAAATAACTTCAAACATCTCCCCAAAGAGGTTTTGGTTAAAGTGAGTAAAGATTCAGCCCCTTTTTTCTTCATAATTTTTAAGACTGATCTTTGCTTCCTACAGTCAATTAGCCTTTTTGCAAGATCAAGTACAATAGACAAAGCCCAGCCACAAGTGTATATTAAGGGACAGCAGGAATCCACCAATCTCAGGCAGCCTCCTATTGCACTGTGTCTATATTGAAGTCTTTTTTTGAAATAGGTAAAACTGACACTATTACTTTGCACTAGGCAGGCTGAACAACAAAACAAAGGGGTTTCAGTGAAACAAACAGGGAACAACATTGTCTGAAACTGTTCATACCAAACTGTTCCTGTATAAAGTCACTGTCCTTCAAAAACACTTCCAGGAAAACTCAGCTCCATATCATTCAGCCTTTTCTGGCAATGCTTTATTTTGGAGTACGGAGCAGAATTAGGAGTGAACTACTGGTAGCTCCTCAGAGCTTTTAATGGGTTCCCCTATCCTGCTGGCAGCTGAATGTCAAGAAGAACCAAACTTTTTTTCAGTAATTGAACCAAATGGAAGATGAACATGAACCTTGCACAGTTGGAGCTGCTAGAAGAGTGTCATTGATCTGAAGAAGAAATAATAACAAAACCTCCCAGGTTTCTCTTGCCATAATTGTTGACTCATGCGCCAGCTTCTGGACAGCTTTCAAAACCTGCAAGCACAGTCTGATCTGACTGGATCCTGGGTCTGGCCTGTAAGAGAAGAAAAAACAATACTTGAGAAAGAACTATTAAGTGATGTATTCAGTAACATGAACTTTCAGCAGTTACAAAAGGAACCAAATATTACTGAGTGAGATCTAGGAACATGAACCAATATGCTTCTGTGCACCTCAACTCTGCTGCTAGGCATCCTAACTCTGCCTTAATGAGCACAAGATGCACTGTAACACTCTTCTCCATGTGAGACTAAATACATAGAGCAAACACCAGAGCAAGCACAATCCATCATCTCAGATTTACCTTGGGCCAAACAATGACAATCCAGTTGAGACGTCATGAATTATTACATACATAATTCAGAAGTGGCAAAACTAGGAGAACATATTGTTAGCAAATTAATTTAAGTTATTCCTAGTTCTCGTCTTGTTTCCAAATTAATTCTTAATCCCTCCTTCCTTTAGTCTGATGTTCCTATTTAATGACCTGCTAGATATTCTTCTGTAAGCAGTTAGGAATAAGGAAGGAAGAAAGGAAACAGTTTCATATTTTCTAGTTTTTCCTGTAGTAATAATCAGATCCACACTGGCACTGCTGAGTCACTCAACACACAGTTGTGCAGAAGCAGTACAAAGCAGTATCACCTCCTCTGATCAGTTAGTCTGGACAAGGCAGAACAGGTACAAAACAGTAATGTGACACATTCTGGACAGTATCTGAGGACACTGGTAAAAAAACTGAGGAAGCCTAAATTTTCAAGGGTGAAAGAGGGGATTACAAATTAGAGTGTGCAGTATATGTAAGGCATATTTCAACATATGCATCATTTTGTCATCCCTCCTACCACCACTGAAGGATGACAAAAAAAAAATCATAAAAGCATTACCTTCCACTGGACTAGTAAGCAGTATCATCAGATTCCTACCAAACATTTTCCATGTGGTATAACCCACAAGTTATGTTGCATAGTAAGCACCTCAAGAATGTGCTGGTCCACTAAATACCATCAGCTTTTACCTTGATAGCAAAAGTGTTATATGTAAAGATTACAAAGAGACAAGATAATGCCTAATGCAAAATTGCAGACAACTAGCCACAGTTCAGGACCTCAGTGGGTTGCTTGATGCTAGTTCTAGGTCATAACCCAGAGTCTCTCTGTAGAACAACAAACTTTGGGACAAGTGAGCCCTCTCTTGCTTATAGCATTATTTATTTTTTTTGCCCGAACAACAACAGAGCAGACTGTTTCAACTGAAAGATATCCTTAATCTGTATAGGCTTGAAGCTTCCAAGGCTGCTTCAAGACTTGTTTCCCTAATCATTTAGAGAAACCATAAAAAAACAGGGCTTATTTGCAAGCTAACAGGATACTTCTACACTAATCTTGTAAAGGCAACTCAAAGATTCCTGTCCATCTAGGACTTCTTCTTGTCCACAAAGTTGACCCAGTGGCAAGCTCTGCTTGAACTATTTCTAGACTTCTAGATGTCTAGATTTCTACAGACCGTGGCCTTTTGGCCATACTCCTTCAGAAGTACTGTTCACATGATTTCATGAGAGGTATAGGAACTACAAAAAAAGTACTTTGGCAGTCACATGTTACATGGCCTCTCAAGCAATTCCAGACATGTCTGTTGCAGAGGACCAAGATATCTGTACCTCACTCTCCTGGAGAAGCTATACAGGGGAAGACAGTTCTCATATTTCCTTCCAACAGTGTTTGTGGCACTGAAACTTTATCTGACTGCAGTAACAACCACTACTGCTTAAGTCATCTTCAAGACCTCTTGGATATTCTAGGGCAGCCAGAAATGGAAAGCCTGAGGGTTGCCTGGGGACTATTCAAATATGTCAAAAAAGTGTTTGTTTCTTCAGGGTGGACAGAAGGCCAGTGCAGGAGGGAAGGAGGCAAATACCCTCTCTACCATCACTGCAGCAGATAGAGAAAAGGTAACTTGACTCACCCAGCCTTGACAGTTTTATTTTTCAGCACCACACTATTTCAAGGTCTGTGCATGTAAACATTTGATTCAGCTGAGCACTCAGATTAGAATAATCTATATGCACCTGCTCTGTATAGGTGTACAAAAACCCATGAAATGCCATGTACATTGAAGTGCCCATTTCAGGCTGCTGTGTTTCACGCCTCACCTATACATCACCATCTGAGTCTGAAGCCTTCACAACTCTGGGCCACAACTTTTAAGACAGCCAAACTAACAGCAACAACATTTCCAGAGATTCAGGATGAGGAAGGAAGTTATTTTAATCACAACCTTCCATAGGACATAGGCTTATGATAAAGACTCAATGGCTTCACACGAGAGAAGATTTTTCCAGGAGACAGTTCAATACAGGTTGCCATAACACCTCTTGGGTAAGTATTCTACATGAGCCCATCAGCAACCTCCATCAACTGGGTAAACCCAGAATTCATTCTCCTCTTCCCCACCACAGACACCTAAGTCTGAATCTTTGCTTTTATTCAAGGCAGGTATACACAATTCAGTTCTGCATTTCATTTGCAGTATAGAAATTTCTTATGTTGCTGGAATGAATTCTGAACACAGTTCCCTGTAGGGTAAAACTTAAAAAGAGAGTAGGGATTTGAACATCGAGTGCTGACAGCAGCAACTGTGAAAAATCAGTATTTAAGATACCTCTCAGAGGCTCTTGAAAGAAAAACTATTGAACAGATATACTACAGGGACAATGTTTAAAATAACAAATTTTCAGCCCTCTGTGTCTCTAGGTGTTAATTATTTCATTCAACAGCTATCACATGTAGTCTACCAGCCTACATCGAGGTCCAACAATGACTTTGGGAGAGAAGGGTGAAGTGGAAGCTTGTGCCAACAGCATGCAAGAAGCTGTACTACTACTGCTGTCTGTTGCTAGGGTCTCCGATGTGAAAGCAAGCAAGGGATCACAGAAACAAAACTATTTAATGGACTAGTGAATTTTTTCTCTGCTGTGCCAAGGGAATAAAGGATCCCAGACAGCAGACTGTATTCTGCACTTATTAAAGCTTAGAGACAACCTCCTGCTGCAGTCTAATCCAAAGCTTGCTTTCCTCAGACTTGTGTCATTGCTTTGACCATCCTTTAATGGGAATTAAAATGCATTTTCACTACAACTTAAGAGCAACAGCAGCTAAGAGTAGGTGGTAGACTTCAAAGCAATCAATAACCAGCAAAGAATTCATCTGAATTTGCAAGTTATTATTCAAAGTCCTTTATAAACAAAGCCATTAGTGAAGCAACCTAAGTGCAGCTGAGCACTTTGAAAGCCACCTGCAGTGATACATATTTAAAACTGATAAAAGCAGATGATCTGATACTTAAGGACCTATACTAAACACTGAAGTTAAATATCTTTTCAGGGGACACTAATATTTAATCTTGTCCAGTACATATGTCCAACAGCAGGTAAATTACCATAAACTACAAATAAGGTAATGATGTTTGTGCACTCTGACAATCTGAAATAGCTGTGTACAAGACCAAGAAACATGTCTATCTCAACACCATCATCCAAGGATTTCAGGCAGCAAGCACTCTGCCACAGGGCTCTTTCAAAACTACCGGTGAAGGACAGTCAGCATAACCATGCACATTTAACAGGCAAGATGCAGGCACAGAGCAGTCACTGCAAGATCCTTCATGTGCTCAAATCTGGACTAACAATGGCTGGGACTGTGATGTGCTCTAAGTTTATCTGTTTTAGACAATAAAAAGCACATGGTCACACAGTGATGCTCTTCTGCTTGCCCTCCAGTCATCCAATAGAGATAAATCTTGAAGCTTTTGGAATGGTAAACATTCAAACCGTATATGAACTATCTGTGATTCTAATTACCTAACCACAGCAGCAACAACTCAACTTGCTACTGCAAAATTACAAAAGATGTTTGGAGAAACACCTTCCTCCTAAAGCTTGCAGCCAATTGCACTCTTATTTTACTCAAGAGCCTCCATGCCTTGTGTGTCCTCTGACAGGTTACCTGCTAACTACAGCGTGGAATCCCTAACACTCACCTTGGTACAAAGAGATTTTGGAGATGTTTGAGAATGCTTTGAACATAAAGGTTTGGTTCCTTAATAACAGGTAAAGGAATAGAGTCCTTAGGTAACACAAGAGCCATAATCCAATCTGTATACACATCCACGCAGTATTTCACAGTATCGCCATCCAAAGGGAGAGTCAGTCCATAACAAACCACCTCCATAGTCCATTTTACCTAACAAACACAAAGCAAAAGTTATTAAAAATAAATATTTATAAGTAAGTACTGGTCAGAACAGATTCATTCTAATTAAAAAAAAAACAAACAACAAAACAGTAGTTATACTGTATGTGCAATTCTGTTTAACATATCCTGCAAGAAAATACCAAACCATTAACTCATATATCATGATATTATGAAGAATATGAGTAAATGGCAAATCACTTTCTAAATCCTGAATCTCTCAAAGCTAAACTGTAGAGAAAACACTTTAGAACACACAAAAGCTGCTAGTAAAAGACTTTCAAATTCTAATAAATGTGTACTATACAAATACTTTTATTTTGAAGTCACATACTGTTGCTTCAAAACTGAAGGTAACTAGAAAGGTTTTGTGTTAAATGCTAAATTCCTTGAGTTTCTTTTGAGGTTTTTTGGTTGGTTTTCTTCAGCCTAAATCTCCTGGTACAGTAGCTCAGACAAACATTTACTATTAAGTGATGAGGTACACTGTTGCTATGATCTAGTTGCTAATAAAAACCCTACGGAGATTACTAAACTAAGAATGTATCACACTTCATAAAACTTGGGACAATAAAGAGAGAAAAATAAAAGAAATAAATAGAAAACCATTAAACTCTCACTCTGGCATGAAGGAAACTATCATCTCCAAGGAAAGGCACTTACTTCTTTGTCTGTTTTCAGTAAACTCTCACTTCCAACAGGTGATGTAATTAAAGCTTGTCCAAGAGGACGAACCACTGCATTTGCCACTTCTCTCCCCACGTTCTCAGGATAGCTGTGAAGTACACTGGTATTCCCCTGATCATTTTGAATGACAAGATGCAAGGATCTCCACTCTGAGTACATAGTGCCTCTATGCTACAATCCAATCAACACCTGGGGACAAGGACGAAAAAGAGACAATTAGTTGAAATGTCTATGACATGAGTCAGCAAAACTGAGGCTGTGTATAACAATCCAAACCCCTGTAAATTCAAGATGCATATATCTATTTCATACATTTGACAATCCAGAAGAGATTCCAACAGTTGTTCTTCAACCTTAGTACATTTTTTATGCAGATAAGCTTTAACATAGCTTGATTACAGATATTACAGCAAGTTTCAGTTCAGGACTATCAGCCCATTTTGGATACTTTAACTTGAGAAGTGACTACACCTCATACTTCTGCTTGCACCATCTTTGCAGGAAAGATGCTCCCATTTACACGACATCTTCAGGTAAGTAGGAAACAGTTCTACAAGTATACTGCTCATGAAGCAATAGCTGCAATTTATCCCTTGTTCCCTTTTTCACTTCAAGGGCAGTTAAAAAGACATACCAGAAAACTTCCAGGAAAACCTTAGTCATCTGAGAAGACAAAAAATTAGCCTCTTTTACATTCATAAGGTATTTCTACAGCAGGAACTTCTCAAAACTGGCAGCTGCAAAATGCGATTGAGTGATAATTTAATTAATATTATTTAATTTAATAATTTAACTTTTTATTTGCAGTGAGTTCAGGACTTGCTGAGCTTTAGTGCACCACTAGCTTAAATCCAGCATCACTTTACAGTTTCATTACAACATATACAGGTTCCAACGCACTGAGGTGCATTTCAAAACCTTTTAAAGTCAATACACACAGAGAGTCACTCCATAAAAATCTACATTTGTCCCACAGATTCCAGACAGAAAAGCCACCAGGAAATTTCCCAGGCTGTGCTCTCAGAACTAGACACAGTTCTCGTTTCAGTAACAATCCCAGCACAACTGTAGCTGTGCATTTCCCCTCACTGCCATTTGAGATCAGGAAGCCAAACTGATCATGAACTAACCAGGTTTTTGCAGTGATGGGAGCTTAGGCTAGGTATTTTGGCATTGTTGTGAAACCTCAGCCAAGAGAGGTGATTAGAAACAGCAGAAGTTAAGCTGTGCTCCCACAGTCCCTCTCAGGCAATAGCACCCTTGTGTCCCCAGCAGCAGCTCGCACTGCACCAGCAGCACACAGACCTATGTGCTGTACAGAGGCAGGGCTGGGAGCCAGGCCAGAAACCCCTGCCCCAGGAACGGGAGGGGTGAGGCAGCATCAGTCATGAGACTGCACTGGGCAGCTCAGAGACTCCCACCACGCACCGCCAGTTTTGATCCACACATCAAACACATCCACAGATCTGATCTAACTCAGATGAGAAACATCTGTGCCAACATAACAGTGCAGTGAGGACCCAAGGCCAGAGGGGTGGCAGGAACATCCCTCTGACAGCAGAATGCTTTGTACAGGCTCACAACAACGTTAAATTGCTGCTCAAGCTGTGGTACCACAGCAGCCTAAGCCACCAGAACTGAGACTGCACCATCTCACTTTCCTCCTCTCCCACCAGAATCAGGAGTCTTTCATCCATTATCTGTGCCAGCTGACCATGTGAACAAGGAAAACAGGGCTGGCACAGGAAAAAAGCAATGAGTGTTCAGGAGACACAGATCAGAGCAGCTCAAGCTGTCACGGATGGCACTCCAAGATCTGTTTGCCAACTACACTTACCTGGCAGAATTTGGAAGCCAGTTAGTTATACAGGTAATATTCTGAACACTTCCCTTCGACATTCGTTGGCCCAAAAGCAAACAAGAAGCCAGGCCTAGAAATACGCATTCCTAGTGAAAAGCCTAGTGGCAAGTCTGCCTATTTAGCCGACTCCCCAAATGTTGATACCCAAAACCTGTGCAAAAGACTGATGATTCCCTCCAAGGGAGATAGAAAAGCGAGACAGCAAGATGTTGTCTTCCAAACTACATCCTTCCTGGTTTGAGGCAGCAATCATGTGTGCCCATCTGATAGTGAATTAACCAGAGCAGAAGCAGCCTGCAGGACATACAACCCCTATATTCTTCAGGCACCTTGTCTCCTCTGCGGGCTGAGGCGGGGGAATGCTCATGCCACTGTGGTCGAAACCCTTAGGCTTAGAGAAAAATGGCAATTCCATGACACAGAAAGGTCACACACACACACATACACACTCCACCTAAATCAAACCAAACCAAAAACCCAAACAAAAAAATCAAAGAAGAAAACCACACAAAAACAAAATACCAAACAAAACCCACAAAATTCCAATCCTCAGTGATGGCTTCAATCACTGCTTGGCTTCACTATCTAGGTTTTCATACAGTTATCTTTTCCTTTCATGTCCTATAGCCACACAGACTCTTTGTCTTCCCCTTTCTCTCCATTATGAACACCATCTTGAGTTTGGAGCCAAAGCAGAAGGGACAGAAATGAGATAGAATCCACTTTCCAAGACTTCCCCCTCCTCTCTCAGCCCCGCAGCACATTGTCTCTATCTCCAGAGCAAAGTCCCTACCCTCTATCCTACAAGGGAAGAGGGGAAGCACTCTCCATTCCTCTCCTGTGACAAGCTCATTAGAAGTATGCAACCCTGTAACAGCACTTGAGGAACACTGGTTTAATGAAACTGATTTGAACTGATCAAACAGCACAGCATGTCCTTTCCATACCCACCCTCCAGCTGGCAGTAAGGCAGTGCACAGCTGCTCATGGCAGAAGCTTATCAGTGAGTGATAACCACAGCACACTCACTGTGGCTGCCCTCATCCCAGAGCAGGGTGCCCAGGTGTGTGGAAGTGCTTTACAATACGAGAAAATTGTAGGCAATGCCTATTTCTTTCTCATCTAGAAGAACTCAACGAAGATTCCCAAATCCTGCTGCATTTCAGAAAACCTTAATTGCACTGGGGAAGTGAAATACTAGGACACAATCACCCATCTTTATGCAGCTCCCTGCCACATTGAAGAAAAGATGCAAAGCTCTTCTGGGTAACCCTCCCACACCTCTGAGGAGTAGCACTTTTAAGATACAGAATATATACAATATTCCAGGTTGAAGAGATTTAGCAGCAGGACAACCAAAACATCTCATACCACACAGTCCCAGCCTGCTGTCTGACATTCATACATAAATTTAATGATCAGTCTGTATCTTGTTAATATTTGAGGCTTCCTTTGGTCTTGCTGTAAAAGAAATCTGTTAGTTTTAGCAATATGCAAGGAATACTGAAAGAAGTAATTGATTCAGATGCAAAATCCTTAAAAGGGAGATTTATCAGGGTATCGATCTATTAACACCCCTATATTTAGCACTTAAAAGTTTTTATTTGGAACGAGTAGAAGTTACTTTTTATTTAAGACTCCAGTTCAACTGCCACTTGAATTGGAAATGGCTGCAATCTGTTAGGATTGGAGTATTGCTAAATCTATCTAGTATGAAGCTCCTTCTAACTGGACAGGAATTAAAAACACTGGAAAGTCTCCATTCAATGATATTCTAGACAACGTTCCTGACAGATTCCACTGACAGCTTCCTAACTTGCCTCAGACAAAGAGCATGTAATGCTGCACAGCAGCAGGACTCCCTCCCTTCCTTCTGTATTTATCAGTAACTACTGAAACAGCAACAGCAAACTGAAGACCAAAACGGCAACTGTCACATCACACCTGATTTTGACTTGTTTTTGCAACGCTTCTGTATCTCAGCTTCAATAATGCACCCCCACTGGCCCAACTAACATCTCCCAAGTTTCATGAAGCTGAATATTTGCACTTCACATATACATATGTCCTATTGAGGTTCAAATCACTAAGGACTCCCAGAAAGCAGATTAAGAGGAGGGGTGAGAAGAACAATAAACCCCTGTTGTTCACTCATTATAGTATGCTGTATGTTCACTGTATGTTCCTGGAGGCTGCACTAAATAAAACATCCTCACACTCTCACAGATAGACCTAGAATGAAATCACCAGCATTAAAACCAGCAAAACAAAAAAGGAGACATTCATTTACTATGAAATTGAGCATCAATTCCAATATTCACTAGTGTGGCAAATAATCTGGATTTTAATGTATTTCTTCCCAATCTGTTTCATCTTAGGAACTTCAGTAGTTATCACCATATAAACTACTGAAAGTGGATGTCCCAGCACTAAAGACCCAAGATTCTCAGTTCTCAAACACTACAGAAGTCAGTGAGCACCGAAGAATAATGAGTCCAGAAAAAATAAAGTTCTATTTCCAGTTTCCAAAGACTTAATATGAACAGCTGCAGCCAAAGTATTAAACTCCTGGATCACTAAAGTTAGACAGTGAGAACTAAACAGAGCCACATTCTGCAGTTACTGTGAAAGAACGTATAGAAGGTCCGAGCCTGAAGCTGCGGTATTTAAAGTGTGTGCAGGGGAGAGGTCAGGGAATCAATACCCATGTACAGAGCAGTTCCTCAGAAAACATACACTGAGGGAGGGAAGTGCTGGGGACAAATGTGAACATTTAGTCTTTTGTGTTCAGCGGCTTCAGATGTAAAATTAAGTATTTTCCTACAATGCAAAAGTACTTCAAGCACAAAGACAAGCTGTCCCAAAAGTGGATCTTTCCTTGCTTTTATCAGAACCAAAAAAGCAGAGCAGACACAATTCTTAGTAGTACAAAAGATGCAAAGACCATCAGCAAAGATATGCTTAAGGAAGGCTGAAGGCCTAATTGAGTCTAAACCAGAGAAGCAGCCAAAAAAAAAAGGTCTACATCAAAGTTCTAGGACATCAGATATGCTTTATAAGTATTTCCTGGAAAAAAACAAAGCTCTCTCATTTAACATGACTTCTGCCACCTAACAATACTAATATCTGCTCTCTAGAGGAAACAATTCTTGCCAGAAAGCCATTCTGCCACAACCCACCTTCCCCCAGAGCACAAACCATATGTTTATGAGCAGTTTTTCTCAGTCCTGTGAAATTCTGAGCATGAACAGCTGCTATATGCCCACTGGCCTCCAAGTTCATGCTGGACAAAGTGAGTTAGATCTAGCTGAGACTAAGTGCACCTCT